TTCTAGTTTTAGATAGTATGTTCCATTTAGTAAAGAGTGGTATTTTTCTTGAAATTCCCAGTAGTATTTGTTTATTTGAGTTTGAAAGTCATTTAGAGTTTTTTCAAGACTTTCGTCTGAACGAATTGTAAAGATTTTCATTTCGTCAAATTTTTCTATTAGACCATCAGAGCCTTTATACTGACCGTGAAAATATACTGCGAACATGAATGCATTAGTTCTATTTGAAAACAAAACTCTTCTAAATCCTATTGCCTTTGCATCTGAAGGACTTTGAAGCCAACGAATTGGATAGTCAAACCTGTAAGCTCCGGATGAAATTTCTTCATCTGAAATATTCCTACCAGCATTTGTAAAGATATAGTCTAACGGTTTTGTATCTGCTACTTTTGTTCTTTGTTTTTCAACCTGAAGCATTTTATATATGTAAAAATATACTGTTTTAAAAACGTTTTTATTTCATGCAATGTTTTATTTCATGCAATGTTTTATTTCTGTGCCGTCTTCAAGTATGCCCCAATATTTCCTTTTCGATATTACATGAACTTCGGTGAAAATTTTGTCCAATTTGAATTGACCCATCTTTTCACCGACCATTCCCATTTCAATGAGTTTGTTGTATCCTTCTTCGTTCGTCATGAGTGCGTCAATGTTCTCATAGTAAACCTTCACTTTGGATTTGACTTCGGAGAAGAATTTGTTGTAGTTGTCAAGGACTGCTTTTGCGAACTGAGGGTAAGACCAATGTTCGACAATAGGTTTTACTGTGGTTACTAAGCCATTTTGACCTTCGGTGAACTCGTACTTCAAAACAAAAGGAGAAAACCTTTCAACAAAGTTGTCGACCTTCTCATAGTGTTTACTCTTCATCTTTTGAGGTTTCTTAATGGAATATCCCCATGTCGAATTCATAAGCAATTTGAGTGTCATTGCAAGTTTGGGGTTTGAAGCTTTCCTAATATCATACAGTTGTTGTATGACTTTTCCAACTGTATAGTTCCTTCCCGGGAACTCGCCGTCTTCGTTTGGAATTCCAGTCGGAATATATTGGACAAACCTCATGTACGCAGCGTTAAGGTCGACATAGTATATTTTTTCGTTTGAGTCGAACTTGTCGCAACCAATGGGTCCAGTTTGTGGAAATTCAAGTGAGTCTCTTATCTTCTGAGAAACTTCTCCTGTTATCTCATAAACATCGTCAAAGCAACCTGTTTCATATAAAACCTTCTGACCTAACTCAGATGCTCTCCAATACAATTTGACGTCGACTGGATGTCTCAAATGAAGTTTGTTTATAGCATCTTGAAGTTCTTGCAACCTCATTGGAAGTTCTTCTGGTTCAGGTTGGTATCCGAACAATCCAACTCCTTTTGGAACTGTGTACTTCTTTTGTGCTATAACTTTGTCTGGAACAACTTTTGGTCTTACCAACAATGAAAAGTTTGTTTCGTCTTTTGGTACAAAAGTTTCTGTCAGCTTGTCATCTGGAATTGGTTCCAACAAGCCTTTCTCGAAAAGAATGTTAACAGCTCTGACAATGTTGCACTTGCCTTTTCCGAACAATGGGTTTGTAAGACTTTCGTTCAACATGAAGTGGTTGTGGACAATTACAATCTTCAACCATGGTAAGTCTTTGTCAACAACATAGTCGTCATGTGAAAAACCTTTAGCTGTAGGTATGTTGACTCGGATATTGACATTTGCCAACGGTGCAATTTTTGCCAATTGACCTCTGAGCATGTACCTTGTCTTCACACATGACTCAAGATACTTCATTTTCTCATCTGTAACAAGACCAGAGTTCCTGAGACATGTAAGAATACAAGGTTCATTGACAATTGTTTCAATTGAATTGTAAATTCCATACCTTGTCAGGTTAATGTCAGACTTATTTCTGAAGGGGAAGTATCCAGCATGTTGTCTGACTGCTTGAGGGTTGGGTTGGTACCATTCGAACTTCACGCTTGCAATTCCTTCAATTGCATTCAAAATATCTGAGTCGGAGTCAACCATTTGTTCTCTCTTTGTAGTCTTGAAAGCGTCAAGAAGTTGTGCAGCTGTTGTGACATTGCCATGTGCATAGTAAATATGACCATCCAAATCTTTTACGGTTAGTCTGAGATTGTGTCCTTTCTTATTTCCGTCTTGAATTGCAGCAAGTACACCCATGAAGCCTTCTTTGTTCTTTCCATCGTCAAAGTTTACTGTAAAGGTTCGACCAGATGTAATTTTACTTCTAACTTCACGATACTTCTCATATGCATATCTTGTTCTTTCCATGGGAGCATGTGCGTCTTCACCCTTCCCTTTTTTCCGTCTCAAGGGATGCAATTGTTCGTCATGTTTCCAGTAGAATCTGGCAAAGCCGTCGTGTCCTTCAACTTGAGGCTCAGTAACATCGAAAGGCATGTCCATAAGACGTTCTTCTTCTAACCTCTCTAATCTGTTTGGATAATTTGCGCGTGCTGTTTCTAAGTCCATTTCATAGCGAAGACCAGACAATTTGTCATAGACTTTTATGGGTCTTCCCTTCCTATATTTAAACTTCTTTGAAACTCTCCAACCATATCTTTCTAACTCTGCTTTTATTCTAGCAGACTTTCTGTCCATTCTATATGGGGGCATTTCTATAAAAATAAAAAAATGTTTTTTCCTTTACTTTACATAACCACCGGCTACCATAAGTCTTTGACGCCAACCCATACCAGCTAATGAAGGTTGACTTGGTTTAGTCTCCAGACTAAACTTTGGTTTTGGTTTATCTTCAGTTTTTGGCTTCCCTTCTTCTATTGGTTTTTCGTCACTTTTCGGTTCATCTGACTTTACCTCACTTGCTGGAATAGTTGTGTCGTCAACATCTTCATAAATATCATATGCCATTTGTTTTTGTTTTCCTTTCAACTTTTTGTGTTTGTTGTAAAGTTTAGAATATTTCGACTCTAAGTCAATGAGATGTTCTATAATGAACTGTTGGTCAGTGAAGTAAACTTTTCCATCTGTTGTCTCGAAAGCTCCTTCAGACTTCAATATTTTATTTGTGAGAGTCTGTTTCTTTTTTGAGATACTAGCCGTTCCATTTTTATGAAAAGTGACTTTGTAGTTAGGGTTTGTATTTCCAGACCTGGCACTTTCTATTATTGAATTTTTCTCTTCATCTGTAAGTTCTTTGACAGGTTTTGACAATGGTTCTGAACTTTTTGTTTGTGGTGTCAAATCTACCGTTTCAACTTCTTCGGTCATTTCATCTCAGTAAAAAATTTTAGTTTGGTTTGTTTTCAACTGGTTGTTTAGGTTTTTTATGTCGGTCTAAAACTTCCTGAGGTATAGGAAAAACTTGACAAACACGTGGTGGTGTAACTGCTGGAAGCCGACAAATCCATCTTGAGCCCATTTGTCTCAATGCTGTATTGTTCATTTCATCTCAGTAAAAAATTTTACATTCCCCACGTTTGAGGCGGTTGAGGTTGGTTGTTGTTTACCCACTGTTGTGCATGGTTATATCCTCTGTTAAAGAATCTTTCACCTTGGTCCATATAGTGCCCTGCTTGGTTATAGTAGTCATTTGCTTTGTTATAGTAGTTTCCTGCTTGTCTTCCTACATTGTCCATCCATCCTTGAACTTTTCCTCTTGTTTCAGGATTTGGAATAAGATTTGCTGCATCTCGTGCTATCTCCCAACCTTTCTGTACAGTTTGTATAATAGGTTGTGCTTTCTCTTTCAGTATACCTAATGTACTCAAAATCTTCCTTCCAATTCCAAATGCACCTCTGGCTAGTGTTCCCACTGCTGGCAAAAATCTAGATGCGACTCCTGCTAATGCGCCAAATAAACCCATTTCTTATGGGTTAAAAATGACGAATTCAAACAAGGACCCCTATGTTTCTAAGGCAACAAAGAAAGCACTCATGGTAAAAATCTTTAGTTCAACACCAAATGCTTGGTTTATGGATATCTTGGAAAACATTCCGAGATATAGAGAAGATGGGCCACCATACTGGCTAATATTTGTCGGTCAAAACACAAGATACTGTGAAGCCATACCATTATGGTCCAAAAATATTTTAGATGTGAAAACTGCTTTGACAATATTCGTTGACAAATACCATCCAACAAAACTGACATCTGACTATGAAAGTTCTTTCAAATCAGACGATATTAAAAACTATCTGCGTTCAAAAAATGTAAACCAATATTTCATTGTCGACCAAAACCATTCTGCTCTTGGTGTCATTGACAGTTGTATAAAAATCTTAAGAGACTTAAACCAACCACAAGGTGGTGAAGCAAATGAAATGTCATATGACGACAAATATAGACACTTCTCCATGGCAAAGATGAGACAAGTTTTAAATATTTACAATAGCCGTAAACAAAAAGGTTTGGGAAACCACTCCCCCGAAGAAATGAAAAACAACCCTGACTTAGAGAAAGACTATATATTTAACAATTTAGTCAAAAGAGACAAACAAGAAAGAATGCCGGGCTTCAAACTTCAGAAAGGTGACAAAGTAAAAATAGAAATACCTAAACGCGACCCATATGAAAATACTATTGACTATGACAACAATGGGAACCCGACAGGTACTCACATTCGTGTTCGTAAAAATAGAAGAAAGTATACAAGAGAATATTATGAAGTTTTAGGCAAACATGGCAAAATGTACAGACTGCAAGCAGAAGATAAAACGACTATTGTCAGACCTCGTTTCAAACTTGTCAAAGTTCAAGGTGGTATACTTTCAAAGACAGTTCCTAACAAATATAAGACAACTCCTGACGAATATGCTAAAGAAGTTGAAAATGACGACTAAGCATTTCTATACCATGCGTAAACTGTCATGTAAGGTGGCATGTAGTCTTTACTTTGTCCTGTTGTTTGTGTATACCCTGAAACGCGATGTGTATGGTTTCCTTCTCCCTGTGTGTTACCCCAGAAACAATTTATAGCAAACTGAACGTTGTCTTTAACATCATATCCTTTACCTTTTTTCATTGCTGACCAATCCCAAAATCTATGCTTATGCCAACCTGCTTGAGATGTACTTAAATCTATGTAGTGACTGTGTGCAGGTAAGTTTTCACCTGAAATCGTTTTACTTCCACCTGTTTCCTTTGAAGAGTTTGCACAATACAAAAACCTGTCGACTATTTGAGTCCAAGTTCCAAAACCAAGTACTACTTCTGGTCTGGTAGAGTTCATTGACGTATAAATAGAACCTATAGGATATACTGTTTGAAGTATTTCTGTCTTTAATGTTTGAAGCTCTGTTTTGTCTGCTTTTTTATCATATAAATCTTGAGCAGTGAATTTAACATTGTTTTCATCCTTCATGACATAGACATTTCTACATCTAATGTATTTCATCGTCGTTATGTCATCCTCCGATGTTAAACCTTGTGGAAAGTTAGGAGGTTTCCAATATAATGCATCCCCACCAGTTTCTTCAACCGTTCCTGCAATATTTTCTATACCAACAGTTGCGAAGAAATCGTGTGTATGGTTCTTATCTGCCTTCTTTTCAAGGCTAACGTTTAAGTCTGTTATTTCAGAAGATGTATGTGTATGTCCAACGTCACTTTTCCTGTTTAAGGTTTCTTGTAAGTTTGTAATATTTGCAATGGTATGTGTATGAGTCTTTTTAGAATATTCGTTTTCAGCTCTTGTCACTTCACTTGACATTTTATTGTCAACATATGTTTTGTCTGCTAGTTCAGGATGAGTATGTTCTTTCGTTGCATATGTTGCATCTGCTCTGTCATGTTCTTCTTGAACTTTTTCAATGACATACTCTTTGTCAGCTTTGTTGTCAATATCTGCTTTCAAAAGAAGTTCATCTATAGGTTTCTCGTTTAAAGTTCTTTTTGTTGGATTTATACAAACAGTATGGTTCTTACTGTCTTGAAACAGAAACTCGTCTGTCAATGGGTTTATCGTCAGTTTTAAGTTTCCTTCTTTCAATGACTCAGATATCTTAGAATAGTTTGAAAAGTTTGTTGTGTTCTTATTTAGAGCTTGTACAATGAGTTGTCGGTTGTGTTGTATTTTCTCATAGACGCTGTTTCTTTCGACATTTTTATTCTAGATAAAAAATGCTTTCAATAGAAAAAGAAAATTCAAGAGTTGCTACAACTAAACCATTAGATGAACTTTTTACTAATGTCGGTCAAAAGTTTGAGACAGAGACCGTAAAGCATGAAGGCTATCGTTTTGACTACCCATTGAGATGGTTAAGAGACCCATCCGTCACAAAAGCTGTTGGCTTTCGTAGAATGAAGTTCATTTCAGAAGCCATACATGGTTTCCCATTTACGGTCGGTTTTGAAGTTCGATACTATAACAAAGAAAAACGTACGTATGAGAAATTTGAACAGGGAAAACTTTTACAAGTGAATTTGCTTGTAAACTTAGAAACAACTCTTCAAGCTTTTCAAAAAAATAAACGATATCTATCTCGAATATGCAAAACAGTACAACATTGACGAAGGAGAGTACCATCTCGATATTTTATATGACAGGAAAAATGCAACTGTTAAAATCGATATGAATAGAATAGAAGACCTTGGAGAAAACGTTTATATTTCTACAAAATATAACAACTTGGCATGGTATAGATTTTTGAGGATGTTAAATCAGCCTGCAGAATATCCAGTACACCCGGACTATTATGAAGTCGAAAACCCTAATGGAACATATGAAAATGTTTTCGACCCAGATGCTATTATAGTTCATGCTTCATTTTCTGGCGCACAAAACTCTTTTTTATGCTTGGCAAATGACTTTTACGAAAAACCTACAAAGCTATATGAACCACCGAGTGGAAGTATTTCAGACTTTCAAGTATGGTTTACTACAGATGGAAGAAAGAGAATAGTTCCATTATACCACGCGTTTTACTTAGAACTTAGTTTCATATACAACTACTATCGAACGGTAAAAATATAACTTTTTAATACGGTTGAGGTGTTGGATTTGGTTGCCAACTAGACTGTGGTGCAGGTTCAGGCTGTTGTATAACAGGAGCTTGTTCTTCTGGTTCAGGGTCTTTAGGTATAATACCAACGAACTGACCTACTCTTTTACCAATATTTTTGACTCCGTTCCAAATTCCTCTTCCGACAGATTTTATTCCATTCCATATACCTCTTCCAACATTTCGAAAGAAGTTTCCTATTCTTCCAAAGAAACCCATTTTACTATATGAAAAATCTAATGTCCGCCTAGTCTCTTACGTTTCCTTCTGAGTTCCATTGCATTTTTTAACTGGAGCTCATACATTCTATTTCTCCTCTGGTAGAAAACATATTCCGGGTCAACTCCTGTGTTCGCGTCATCTGCATAGAGTTGTTTATATCCCACTTCAGGGTTTGTATAAAACTCTTTCCATCTCATATTTGCATACCATGGTGGCAAACCTAACGCAGCGTCATTTGACATGGCAGTTTGCATTTGTACATCTGTTGGCACCTGACCATAGTTTGCCATTGCAGTTTGTATTCTAACTTCATTTGGAATATTCTCTGGGTTTGGTTGTCCAGGTTGCTGTGCATTCGCTAAGTTCTGTGCGTCCATTTAATATTAGATAAAAATATCTCTTACGAGTACATATGCTGAACATTTGCAGACATTGGTTCATCTTCATATTCTCTATATCTTTCTGCCACGTCAAATAAGTAAATGACACAATGGAAAAAACCTAAAACAAGTAGTCCTATTTCAAACCACATTTACTTACCAATAAAATTTCTTTGTTGTGACACTTTCTCCGGTTTATAGGACCTCTCTCATATTCTATCTTATCGTATCTAAACTCATAGTCATGTATGTCCTCTAACCATCTCATGACACTTTCCAAACCACTTTTATCGGATGTAAAGTAAAAGCATGGATGGTTATGTACAACGTTTCTAAAGAGTCTCTCAAAGTCCAGTCTACTTGGTATTGAAAATCATATGTGTTATAGAACGGCGGGTCTACTATAAAGAAAACATTTTCCTTGTTTTTATATTTTTCATACAACTCTGTCCAACGACATCTCACAACTCTATACCCTCAGTATATTTTTCTATGTTCTCTTTGAAAACCTTTGTATAGTTAAGATATAAAACGTTTGACATAAGTGTTTCAATGTCATGAACTCTTATAGAACCACTATACAATAGTCTAGAAGATATACTATCCCAGTCAATATATTCTGCTTTTTTCAAAACCTCTCTGACAGTATTTTTCTTATCTAATGGTATACGTTCCATCTTACCTATAGGTATCTTTTCTTTTAACTCTTTCAATATTTTGTTTGTGTCTGGTATATGTTTGAGACGGTTCATATAGTTGTCGAAGTCATTGCATATAATCTTTGAGTCAGGAAATACAGTATGGCACAAATGAGATATATAGAAACTTCCACCGAACAAATCTACAAATGTTAGACCATTCGGTAGTTTCTTAAGTTCTCTCAATAGAATATCTTTACATCTACTCTTATTTCCAAAGAAGGGTAACGGTGGTTTTGTAAAATTCATTTTATATACAATAAAAATGTTTTTTCCCTGAAAAGTGACAGAAAAGTGACAAAACATCTTCGGGGCTAGAAGGGGCGCAGCCCCTGGAAGCCCCAATGCCTTTTTTTTTTCGATAATATTTTTGATTGATTAAATTTAATTTGGATACATTATCTATCTTCCAACAATTTAAAAATTGAAAAAGAATCGCTAACGTTGACCAGGATAATAATGTTTAATTCCGTTTCACACATAAATTAATTGACTTGGTTCATTTTTTCTATACTAGTTATTTATTTTCATTCACTAGATATGAGGAAAATATAAAATTGAAGAATAAATGAATGAAGAAATGAATGATATAAATTCAAAACACATGAATTATAAATAGATGAAAATTGTGTTATACGAATGAATCCATTTCCGATATGACCTGTTTCAAGAGTACCATTCGGGGCAAGCATTGGATTTTTTCCATCAATCATCATCGTTTCTTCAAATTTCAACCCAGAATAATGTATCGAAATATAATCACCTTCGCGAAATGATATAGAATCTATTGTAGAATCCTGAGTAATAGCTACACATCCTGGATGTCCGCTGATGAAGCTACTCCCTCCTCCACCGCCATAATCCGAATCATTATTCGATGAACCGCCTCCAAAATATCCTGAACCACCCGAACCGCAACCATTTGTATCTCCAGCATCACCGATTCTATTGGGATTTCCACCGCCAAGTCCAAATGTGCCATTGACTTTTCCAATTCCGCCTGACATTTGTGTTCCGCCTTTTCCATAATTCCCATTACTATTGTATCCAGTGATTGAACCCCCAGCACCACCAATATCATTACTATCTGGACCTCCCCCACCAGCTGCCACTATAATTCGACTTTTTAATGAATTAAATTCATCGTATTTGCCTGGAAGAAGTCTTACATCAGAGGCACCTCCACCGCCATATTGGCCTGGAGCTCCTCCTCCATATGCATAGTAGGGAGATGCATATTGACCTTGAGAACAAACATGCAGATAAAAATCATTTGGAGAATTCAATTTTAGATAACCTTTTACATATGAACCACCTGAAGGTGGAATGTAAGCAGAGTCTTTTTTAAAGAATGCGCTGGAACATCCCCACAATTCAAAAAGATAAATTCCAGATTTTAATTTTACATGAATTGGTGATGATTCATTGAATAAAGGACTTGTATATGCATATTCTAATTTATTTTTTGAAGGAAATAGAATTTGATTAAATTATATATATTTCATGGGTTAATACGATATTATTGCCCAAAGCAACAAATGACAAATAGCGATAATAAATATCTAAGAGTGCTCATAGAAAATATGTTTATATTCTATAGATTCCATGGTACGGGAAATGCATTAGTCACTTTTTTCAACATTTTGACATTTTTATGTTGTAAAATAAATAAATAAATTCCCTATAATGAGATATATTTGGATTCATTTATAACAGACTACGAGAATGAATTTAAAAGGTAATGCATGCTTCATACTTAAAGCAATTGCAGAATCGATCCATAAATCTTGAAAGGAATTGCTTATTATCTAAATAATAATACAGGAAATGCAAAAGAAAAAGTTACTGAGGTTGATGATTCTTTCATCTTTGAATATCCTTGTAACTCGAATGTTATTTGTGAACCATATATTATTCATTTCCAAAAAGGAAGTTATAAGATCGAACTCTGGGGATCATCAGGTGGAAATGGAAGAGAAAATAATTCTCCTAAAATTGTTCCCAACTCAGGTGGAAATGGTTCATATGTTAGAGGCATTATTCATTTGAAACAATCCACAAAATTTTATCTTTATTTAGGTGCTAAAGGTGAAGACCAGACAAAAACAGATGATTATACTAACCATTCTCTTGGAGGTTGGAATTTTGGAGGGCATGGTGGAATTGATAAACATGATAAGAATGAACAGACTCAATATCGCCCACCAGAGAGCGGTGCAGGAGGTGGAGGTTCTGTTGACCTTCGCATTGAATATTTTGACATCAATTTTCCAGATAAAAACCGATCACTTCTGACCAAGTCGTTGAAATCTAGAATAATGGTTGCAGGGTCTGGAGGTGGTGCTGTCTCCAATACAAATAAGTTTGGTTTTCCAGGTGGAAATTTAACTGCAATAGATAATGGCAATAATGTTTTTGGCGGTACACAAACATCAGGAGAACTAGGAAAAGGGATGGATGGCATTGATTCAGAAATTAATCAGGGAGGCTCCAGAGGTTGTGGTGGCGGTTATAAAGGTGGTTATCATACTTTCAATAAAAGCATGCCTAAAAGTGTCAGTTTTGAGTTCGGTGGATCGGGCGGGAGTTCATACATAAGTGGAGATATAAAAATTGCTCACATTTGCTCACATTTTAGCACTTTTTTGTACGTTTGTCAAAAAATTGTGAGGAAGATCTCACAAAAATAGTCAAAATGTGAGCAAATTTTGAGAAGTGCTCACATTTTGACATACGATTATTTTCATACGTTTTTTTGATGAATTCTAATAAAACTTCATTACCACTTTCAGAACGAAGCGTAACTTTTCAGCACGTAACGCTCTATCATGTGTAGTGACATATTATTCAAAAAAACTCAGATTGCTTATCTTATAATAACAATTTCATTAGAAAAAATGCACGATTTCACGCTAAAACTTTGAAGCAATTCTTAAATTCGGATAAAAAATCGATATGTATTACACTTTAAACTTCAAAAAATGGTTCAAAATTTAGACTTAGTTTATCTTAACAATATAGCAGATTTTAAGCCGAACAAGTAGGAGTAATAGAAATAGCTCTTGAAAATAATTACAATTAGTAATATGTAAGTCAAAGTTCGAGTATTCTAATAAATAAACGTTCCGGATTTTCTTTACTACAAGAATAATACTTAATATATAGAAGCAACAGTAAAAACTTATTAGAGATTCAAAAAGAAAGTTGACTAAAGAGAATCTTTTTATATAAGTAATTTTATTTTTTTGAAATACGAGATCGAATAAACATGTATTTTATTTTATTACTATAATAATACGTTTTTACATAGTAAGAAAGTTTAGAGACTGAAATGAAATTAAAAATTGAGAAAAAAATAAAGCTTTTCTATAAAAATTCATATTAATATATAGTATAATGATATTTATTGATAGTTGTGTTAGAAAAAAGGTACATTCACTATTTTTGACAAAATTTTAAATTTTCATGGGGTTGTAAATCTTATAATAACTAGATGAATAAGGAATAAATCCCAGTATGATGTGCATCATTATATTAAACACTATATGTAAGGCTGGTGATTCTATTAACACTTATGAAGATCTATAGTATTTGAGCAGATAAATTTGATAATTTCCAAAACTCTTATATTTCAAAATTAAAGTGTGCGAATGCATTTAAATGAGAGCAAAAAGAGATTGATGCTGTTAAAACTATGTGTTAATTTGCAATTATTTCGCATCACAAGAACTACCCAGTAAATTCGGCTATCTTTCTTTGCAATTATTCTCCATTATACATATAATATAATGGTTAGGGTTTGAAGAAAAGTTACTAGAGAATTATTGACTTTTGAAATAATGCAGAATTTTACTTGAAGAAATCATTAATTTATGAGTTCCAAATTGCTAAGCATGACGAAGGATCATTAAATTTGCTACAATTAAATACACTTATTGCAGAATTAAGATTTTTGAAATTAAAAGTTTGAAATATTGCCTTTTTGAATAAAAATTTAAATTTTATTATATAATCATGATAATATCTTATAGAAATTAAAAGAAAATATTTTAAACCATTCAAATATTTTGAATGTCTTATCAATTTAAAATATTAAAAGATAGCTTGATTTTATCATCATTAGTTGTTATCAAAGTTTTCTTCTTTTGATGAACAACAGTAAATGATTTGTTAATTACTTGTCTTCCTTTTTCGCAGCAAAATCGAAAGTTATGATGATAATCTTGCTCTCAATTTTGAAACTCTCTGATTTACAAGTAAGCATTCCTTTGGAAAAGCAGTCCTATTCTGTTTTCAAGATATTTTAAAGCCTCAATTTCATACAATGCGCAGATCTATTCGAAATTGCAAGAACTCTCAAGAAAAATGCAGCAGCAAAGAAGATTCCATAGTTTCTAGCATCAAAAATTTACAACCTTAATACAACAGTTAAAGAGAAGCTCGAAAAGAAAATATTTAACCATAAAGCTGGAAACCATTCGATATCTACTATTGGATCTAATAAAAAGTTAATTATAACATATTTAACATGCTATTTGTTGACTTTGTTCCATTATATTACCATATATACCTTTTTGAAATCTAAAATATTTTTACAATTTTAACCATGTGTTGTTGAAACCATATATCAATCTTAGCTAAAGTATAGTTTATGAGTCTGTCACCATCTAACGTATGAATTTTCAAAAATGTCAAATATGTTCATTTTTTCTGTAGATTCAGCCATAATTTCACGTTGTTATACTATTCAACTATTATTTAATATTTTTATCGATTTAAATATATGATGAGATGCTTAGTTCTCCTGGAAATCGATTTTTAATCGCAATTTTAACTTTCCAAAAAAAATTCAAAAATAAAAATCCCTCTCAATTTTCTAAGTTTTATAACTCGCCAAATCTCTAGCCAAATTTTTTTGGCCCGTATAAATATTGTTTGGCACTATATAGGGATGCTATTTATCATATTTTCATCCCATTTTACTGTTATCGCCTAGTGAATGTACCTTTGTTAGAAAAAATATACAACTAAAATGTCAGTTTTAAAAAATTTAAAAATTATATTAAAACAATAGTCATTGAGGATGGTTAATTGCAAAAACTCAAGAAACTATCATTATCTCTCTTTGCTTAACACATCTACAACTGGAAACATCATTCCAAATGAAGTTCCTCAGTCTCGTCAAAATTTCTCTCTCATCTACAACAAGCTTAACTCAAAACTCAAGAAACTATCATTATCTCTCTTTGCTTAACACATCTACAACTGGAAACATCATTCCAAATGTTGCATTCAAGAATCCTATTATTATTCTTTCTTTCAATCTTTTATATTTACTCTTTAAATTCTAATATAATATAAATTCTTCATTTCCTTTGTTTAAACTTTTTTCATTTTAATACCATTTTATCAGATAGTAATTTTTGTTTTTCTCTGACCAAAAATCTTCTCAATTTAACTCCACCTTCACAAAAATTCATTGAGTTCTCTCAAAATTCTTGTATTTTTGGTATACTTAAAGTATCATCTTCAAATATTTTTTTGGAGAAAATTGACTTTGCATAATATCGTAATACTTTTTAAGGCAGATAGATTTACCGTAAGTTGAAGAACTTTTAATTTGAACAGAAATTATTCAACAAATATTCTTTTTATTTGATCAAGATACGTATACCAATATGATCTACTTGCTAGGGATATGTAGATCACGTTCAGAATTTGCCAAGTTTGGTGAATATCTATGGGATTAGGGACATCTATTTAATTTAAGAACTAAAAATTAGCATAGGCGTATTATGCTGTTACTGAAATATATTTTGGATGTATAAATTTTTACTTAATACTCTTTTATTGTTATCATTTTTAAAGATTTTTTATTATGAGCAAAAAAATGGCAAGACAATAATATATTGTACATGCAATTTATTATTACTGAATAAATTTATCAATCAAATTTGATCACATACAATTTTTACAGATAAATACATTATCTCAAAAAATATCTATATATTAGTATATGTTACACGAAATGTAATAAAATGTATTACTTTGGTTTATCAATTTATAAATAAGAATGAAAATTTGTTATAGCTTTGTTCCAATATTTATTTTTATATATTTAAGTTATCCATTTTACTGTTTTCATTCATATTTATAACAAAATTAGAGTCCTTACATTATTTATCTTATTTCAATAGTGATAAAAATCAACTATATTTTGTAAGATCTTAAAAAGTGACAAAAATGGAAAACTACATTAAATTTATTTATAAGGATACAAAATTATATGTCATTCCACCAAGAGCGGTTAAAGCATTAACACTTTATTTATATATATCTCACAAGCTAAGTTTACCTCTAAACACATTCGAATTAACAACAAATAACAAAAATTTAGGTGTTCTGGATAATTTGCGCTGTAATAACAAAATTACTATCAATATTAAAAGAAAAAAGAAGCCTTTTAACTTATTTTCAATTCCGATTGTAAACAGTATAAAAACTTCTGAAGATCAAGACAAAAGATTAATCAAATATCAAAAAAAATGACGAAAATTTATTGTGGGCAGCCAAGTTTGCGTTGTATATGAGCAATAACATAATAGAAGAAGCAATTAAAATCATGAATTTCAATTGTCTTCAGGAAGTATTCAATCCTGTTGATGAAATTAAAAAAATGTTAGAAGGAGAGTATAAAGTAACAATTTCAGATGGAAATAAAAATAAATTATATGAGACAATTTTACCAAATGAAGAAGCTGAAGATTCTTATAGTGAGAATGATAGTGATATCGATTATGATGAAGAAAGTAAACAAAAGGATAAAAATGATTTTTCTATAGAAACTCATGATAAAGATAACAATATAAGAAAGAATTGGCCATTTCAAGATGAAGACAACGAAAACTCGGATTCTCTATTAAACAGATATTTAAGTTCCGAAGAATTCAATGAATTCAAAGAGGAGGAGAATGAACAAATTTTATTAAATGAACAAACTGCAACAATAAGTGGAGTAACTGCTCAAAATTCAAATATAAGACAAAATGAAACAATAAGTGGAGTTTCTCCTCCAAACACAAATCAAAGACAAAATGCAACAATAAATGCAGTTTCATTTCCAAACACAAATCAAAGACAAAATGCAACAATAAATGCAGTTTCATTTCCAAATTCAAATCAAAGACAAAATGCAACAATAAGTGGAGTTTCACTTTCAAACACAAATCAAAGACAAAATGCAACAATAAATGCAGTTTCATTTCCAAACACAAATCAAAGACAAAATGCAACAATAAATGCAGTTTCATTTCCAAATTCAAATCAAAGACAAAATGCAACAATAATGCAGTTTCATTTCAAACACAAATCAAAGACAAAATGCAACAATAAATGCAGTTTCATTTCCAAACACAAATCAAAGACAAAATGCAACAATAAATGCAGTTTCATTTCCAAACACAAATCAAAGACAAAATGCAACAATAAATGCAGTTTCATTTCCAAACACAAATCAAAGACAAACTGCAACAATAAGTGGAGTTACTCCTCCAAACACAAATCAAAGACAAAATGCAACAATAAATTCGGATATTCAGCGTCAAATCCCTCAGCATCAATCCTCACTACCTAATGAAACTGCTTCTTATTCTTCCCAAATTTCTAATCATTTAACCGATAATCCTCCATTAACAGATTTACAAAATACACATCTAGTGCCAAATTTTGCTTATGATTACCAAAATAATTTTTCAACGCATAAACAATCTATTATCGTTAATAAAGCTTGCATTGAACTTATTCCTAATTATCAATCTTTTGATGATAAAAATAAAGAGATTCACCGAAAAAGAATCAAAAATATTCTGAGGACTTATCATACATTTTCAATTTCCCAATCCGCACGTATTAAATATTCATTAACCATATATACAAATGGTCATCCTTTGAGATTTCAACGTTACAATGCTCATAATAATTATTTAGAAATTATTTATTATTGCGGATATAAACCTAGATGCAACTTTTGTATGCATGTAAAAGTCTTTGATGAGAAATTAAATATTTCTCCTGAAGAAAAACCAGACAGTAAACTTCATAACTGCCGACCTGCAAAACAATCTCAAATAATTAAAGGAACAAATCCAATGAACTATGATATTGAATCTCAAGTTCAAGATTATGTTGTCAAAAATCCAACCGCAACGATATCAGAAACAAGAAAGTATGCAAATCAACTGATATATGACTGTAATCAAGCCCAGTCTACTAATTTCATTCAGATATCAGAGAAGAAAGTCCAACAGCTGTATTATGAAGTTCATCCTGTCAAATCAAAATCAGAGATTGATCTTATTAATGAAATGTTAGAATTTTTTAATCAAAGATCATATTTTATTACCCAAAGCACAAAAAATGATAATGCCTATTATTTTTTTGGATTGGAACGTTTCATTCGAGTTGCACGGTATTCATCACATTGTTTTATTGATGGAACCTTCAAAGTCGTTCCTGTATCAATAATGAATGGCCAATTATTAAATTTGTTAATTTTTGACCAAGCAACTCAACTGTATCTACCGTTTTTACATATAATCATGACGGGAAGAACAGAAACTGATTATCAAAGAGTATTTAGTATTATGGAGTATGATACTGATATTAAAATTCCTTTATCAACATTTGATGTTATAACAACTGATTTCGAAAAAGCACTTCAAGGCTCAATTTATAAAAGAAAAGGAGAGCAAACCATATTGACTGGATGCATATATCACTTTATTGCAGCATTAGTTAAGAATTTCAAGAAAAAATGTGATCCAGAAGATCTTAACAATAAAATTCTTTTAAAGTTATTATGCGCTTCTCCATTCATGCCAGAAGAAGTTTTTGATTTGGTTTGTAATAAAATTAAATGCATTCAAGATACAAATGAATTTGCAAAATACTTTATTAAAACATGGAGCACAAGCTATAATTCAATCAGCAAGCTCAAAGTATTCGACAATATTTATTCTAATAATGGCGTAGAATCGTACAACAAAGTGTTAAATACAAATATTGTATATTCACATCCCACAATTTTAAAGACGGTACACACTTTAATGAAAGTGGATTTAGCGATTTTGCATCGATATGCACGGGCAGATAAAAACACAAGTGATCATAAACAGTCGTATTTCATTAAATTGAAAAAAATAAATGAAGAGATTCAGTTATTTGAAGAGCATTTTGGTCTGGAAATATCATTAATTCCTGAGGATATAATGAAAAAATATAAGGATTTGTCCAAACATTCTGGAATTGATTTCAGAGATATTGAAATTGAAAGGTATATGTCAAGTGATCAAATACTTGATGACATTCAAATAAATTTAGAAGAAACAAAAAATGAAAAGATAGAAAACATTGAAATTGCCGAAGATGATTTATTTCAATAATATGTAACATTGATTTCTATTCAACTTTATCGTTATTATAATAAACATTTTTATGATTTTTTTAATATTTTTTATAAGTAGATTGAAGATTATTTGATGGAAAGATGTATATATATATACATAATGTACCTTACAATATCTTCATGCTATGAATTCCAGAATAATGACAAGTCTTTCATTCTTAATTAGAAGTCTCCAATATTTTGTCTATTTTTTCATATTTTTTCTATTTTTTTCACCATTTAAAATTTCTTAAATTCTAAATATAGCAAATTATATCATTTTACTTTCTGCAACGATTTAATCGATAATTATATGAATATTATTGTAAATATTTCTAAAATATTTTAAATACAAATAATTTTAAACTGAACCAAATAAATTGGATAACTTTAACTCAATCAAATAAATATTAATATGAATTTTTATAGAAAAGCTTTATTTTTTTCTCAATTTTTAATTTCATTTCAGTCTCTAAACTTTCTTACTATGTAAAAACGTATTATTATAGTAATAAAATAAAATACATGTTTATTCGATCTCGTATTTCAAAAAAATAAAATTACTTATATAAAAAGATTCTCTTTAGTCAACTTTCTTTTTGAATCTCTAATAAGTTTTTACTGTTGCTTCTATATATTAAGTATTGATTCTTGTAGTAAAGAAAATCCGGAACGTTTATTTATTAGAATACTCGAACTTTGACTTACATATTACTAATTGTAATTATTTTCAAGAGCTATTTCTATTACTCCTACTTGTTCGGCTTAAAATCTGCTATATTGTTAAGATAAACTAAGTCTAAATTTTGAACCATTTTTTGAAGTTTAAAGTGTAATACATATCGATTTTTTATCCGAATTTAAGAATTGCTTCAAAGTTTTAGCGTGAAATCGTGCATTTTTTCTAATGAAATTGTTATTATAAGGGTCATTATTGATTTTGTAATTTAATCGTCGTCGTTATCGATTTTGTAATTTAATCGTTATCGTCTTTTTCTAAACGTGCATTTTTTGCTTTCGGAGCTATTGAACATACATTGGCCCTTACCAGCAATTGAAAACTATTTTTCATTATCAACAATTACATTACTCCGAGTTATTCATCAATCAATGAAAATCGATATATAGTCCATACTTCAATTTACAATATTGGCAAGTCCGATTTCACTTGGCATATTTAACTCATATAGAAAAACCAGTTGGAATCGGCAAAATTATCTTTAATTCCATACATAAGAAAAAAAAATTATAAAGTTCTTCAATAATAGCAAACTAATAGTTTAAATAGATTTACAAGTATCGCCCATCTACTTTTGATATAATTCACATATTAAATGTAGAAAACTGGTTTAAAATAAATATTTCAAAAGTTCGAAAACGATTTATGAAAAAATAACGTGATGACATTTACTAAATTTGCTCTGTATTAAAGTATCGATGATAGAAAGAGCATATTTTGTAAATATTTCAAAAATATTTAAAAGTCGGAGAAATTGTATTGTAATGTACTATAATTATGTTACAAATCCGATTTAATACTAATCCTTCGCTATTGAAGTTGTTTTGAGAAGGATATTCTCTAAATTCTTGATAAATCTTTAAAATCTAGAGTAATCGTTTTGTAAACTTAACAAAACTAAAATGTATACCAATAGATTGGCATTTTCTACGTTTTCAAAGTGAGAGAGTGTAAATTCTTTTTTTTTATCCTATTAAGGTTTTTAAAAAATTTATTTAACAATAGGATGTTTAACACTAATTTTTTAAGGACTTCGACTTTAGCATCACATAAATATGTTATTTTCTATATTAAAACGTAATTTTGGTGGTCTTAGAATAGAAAAATATGCAATATTCGTGGAGATAATGAGGGTTCTTAAACATGTTCTTAAAAATAAATAAAATAATACAAATCTTTATTCAATCTTTTGATATTGTTGGTCCTCTCTTTGTGAAAATACTTAACTTCAAAGAGTATTATGTTTTACCTAGTGAGGACCTTAAGTTTGCAAAAACATAATAAAAGTAAAATAAAAAAGATCTGATTTATCACAAAACTTTGAGTATTATAGGATTTAATATATTTTCTTAGTAGATTATATGATTTAGTTTCTTAAAATCTAAAGTATTTCTTGAGGAAAATATAAATTGAAATTCAAAAAGTAAAAAAATGTAAACAAATCAAATTTTAAATGGACCAAATGTTGATTTTTCATTCGTTTTCTCATTATCGAAAAAAATTTGGAAAGCTAAGAAGTCAATAACAAGTTATATAATACAACAAAACCCACATCGGATATGTTTTCATCAAATAGTCTCCTAGATTTGTTATGAAATTAAAATATCATGATATTTTAAGGGCTTTTGATTTCAATATTAGAATTATTCAGTTATATCGTGCTAATATCAATTGCTTTATACAATTAATCGTTTACAAGCTGCAAAAATCGAACAATAATTTGACTTTGTAAAAAAAGTGCGTCATTTTTATTCGTTATACTTACAAAATGTAAACATTACGAGAAACATTTACATTTGTAAATGTAACAAGTAAAGTTGTATCGCATAATTTGACTTTGTAAAAAAAGTGCGTCATTTTTATTCGTTATACTTACAAAGTGTAAACATTACGAGAAACATTTACATTTGTAAATGTAACAAGTAAAGTTGTATCGCATAATTTGACTTTGTAAAAAAAGTGCGTCATTTTTATTCGTTATACTTACAAAATGTAAACATTACGAGAAACATTTACATTTGTAAATGTAACAAGTAAATACATCAGATTTAAATTGTAAATGTAGTTTATCTCTCTCATCTCCTTTTTAAAAGGTATTACATACATACGAACGCATGGGTCACTCAATAATTAGCGTGATAATAATTGAGGATAGACTGTAATCGTAATTTTATTTTTGGACTTATATTTCGACATTTTGAAGTCGCTTGAAAGTCTTGCAAATGATTAAATTTGGAAAATTTGACCTAAGTCTGCATTATTTTGATGACTTAAACAATTCTATAAATCTGTTTTCCTAAAAATTTAAAAAGATATAATTTCAATTTCCCTAAATTTATGTAATTCATATATCACCAAAATATTTGGACTGCATTTCGTTTGTCTGCACCTAATTAAAGTCTAAATACCAATTAATTTTGGAGTTGCATTGCTTTTAATGTAAAAATGCACGTTTAGAAAAAGACGATAACGATTAAATTACAAAATCGATAACGACGACGATTAAATTACAAAATCGATAACCTCTCTTATTATAAGATAAGCAATCTGAGTTTTTTTGAATAATATGTCACTACACATGATAGAGCGTTACGTGCTGAAAAGTTACGCTTCGTTCTGAAAGTGGTAATGAAGTTTTATTAGAATTCATCAAAAAAACGTATGAAAATAATCGTATGTCAAAATGTGAGCACTTCTCAAAATTTGCTCACATTTTGACTATTTTTGTGAGATCTTCCTCACAATTTTTTGACAAACGTACAAAAAAGTGCTAAAATGTGAGCAAATGTGAGCAATTTTTATATCTCCATAAGTGGACATCCAGGATGCATAAGTCCACACTATCCTTCATTTGCAATTGCTAATGAAACAACTCCTTTCCATGAATCAAATTTTTATTTCACCAATACAGTAATGAGAAGTGGTGAAGAAGCAATGCCAGATCCTTTTAATGATTTTGCTATTATTGGTCATGTTGGTAATGGCGTTTGTCGAATTAGATTAATTTTTAGTTCAATTTGTCAAACGCATCGAATTATTTGTGTACATTAATTTGAAATTTTTATGTATATGGTTTCTTTTTGTTTTGTTTCAGAATAAAGAAAATATTAATAATCAATTCATATATGTTCCATATTAAGTTCTGTCAAAATGTAAGCTATTCAATTCTATCGTCGGGGGAAGTATCACAAATCTATCAATTTTTTTGTAAAAGTATACAAAAACATATGGTGTTCAATTAGTTTATAATAATATAAATATTAAGATTAAAAAAAAAAAAAAAAAAAAAAAAAAAGGAAGTGGGGCTTCCAGGCACTTCGTGCCCTCTAGCCCCGAAGATGTTTAGTATAAATGAAGTTCTTATATACGGGTCTTCCAGGAGCTTTTCACAAATTATATATGTTTTCATGTTTTGTCAAGACTTCTTCGTAAAATCAGACAAAAATAATGTTTAGGGTAGAAGGTTAGATATAACCTCTTTTCTAACCTCTTTTCTACCCTCTTGAATTTTCAAGACTTCTTCGTACATGTTTTGTCACTTTTCTGTCACTTTTCAGGAAAAAACATTTTTATTATATATATAAAATGAATTTTACAAAACCACCGTTACCCTTCTTTGGAAATAAGAGTAGATGTAAAGATATTCTATTGAGAGAACTTAAGAAACTACCGAATGGTCTAACATTTGTAGACTTGTTCGGTGGAAGTTTCTATATATCTCATTTGTGCCATACAATATTTCCTGACTCAAAGATTATATGCAATGACTTCGACAACTATATGAACCGTCTCAAACATATACCAGACACAAACAAAATATTGAAAGAGTTAAAAGAAAAGATACCTATAGGTAAGATGGAACGTATACCATTAGATAAGAAAAATACTGTCAGAGAGGTTTTGAAAAAGGCAGAGTATATTGACTGGGATAGTATATCTGCTAGACTATTATATAGTGGTGCTATAAGAGTTCATGACATTGAAACACTTATGTCAAAAGTTTTATATCTTAACTATACAAATGTTTTCAAAGAGAACATAGAAAAATATATTGAGGGTATAGAGTTTGTGAGATGTCATTGGACAGAGTTGTATGAAAAATATAAAGACAAGGAAAATGTTTTCTTTATAGTGGACCCGCCGTTCTATAACACATGGGATTTTCAATACCAAGTAGACTGGACTTTGAGAGACTCTTTAGAAACTTTAGACGTTTTACATAACCATCCATGCTTTTACTTTACATCCGATAAAAGTGGTTTGGAAAGTGTCATGAGATGGTTAGAGGACATACATGACTATGAGTTTAGATATGACAAGATAGAATATGAGAGAGGTCCTATAAACTGGAGAAAGTGTCATAACAAAGAAATTTTACTAGTAAGTAAATGTGGTTTGAAATAGGACTACTTGTTTTAGGTTTTTTCCATTGTGTCATTTACTTATTTGACGTGGCAGAAAGGTACAGAGAATATGAAGATGAACCAATACCAGCAAATGTTCAGCATATGTACTCGTAAGAGATATTTTTATCTAATATTAAATGGACGCACAGAACTTAGCGAATGCACAGCAACCTGGACAACCAAACCCAGAGAATATTCCAAATGAAGTTAGAATACAAACTGCAATGGCAAACTATGGTCAAGTGCCAACAGATGTACAAATGCAAACTGCCATGTCAAATGACGCTGCGTTAGGTTTGCCACCATGGTATGCAAATATGAGATGGAAAGAGTTTTATACAAACCCTGAAGTGGGATATAAACAACTTTATGCAGATGACGCGAACACAGGAGTTGACCCAGAATATGTTTTCTACCAGAGGAGAAACAGAATGTATGAGCTCCAGTTAAAGAATGCTATGGAACTCAACAGGAAACGTAAGAGACTAGGCGGACATTAGATTTTTACATATAGTAAAATGGGTTTCTTCAGTAAGATAGGAAACTTCTTTCGAAATGTTGGAAGAGGTATATGGAATGGAATAAAAACCGTAGGAAGAGGAATTTGGAACGGTGTCAAAAATATTGGTAAAAGAGTAGGTCAGTTTGTTGGTATTATACCTAAAGACCCTGAACCAGAAGAACAAGCTCCTGTTATACAACAGCCTGAACCTGCACCACAGTCTAGTTGGCAACCAAATCCAACACCTCAACCGTATTAAAAAGTTATATTTTTACCGTTCGATAGTAGTTGTATATGAAACTAAGTTCTAAGTAAAACGCATGGTATAATGGAATTATTCTTTTTCTTCCATCTGTAGTAAACCATACTTGAAAGTCTGAAATACTTCCACTTGGTGGTTCGTATAACTTTGTAGGTTTTTCGTAAAAGTCATTTGCCAAGCATAAGAAAGAGTTTTGGGCGCCAGAAAATGAAGCATGAACAATAATAGCATCTGAGTCGAAAACATCTTTAAATAAATATGGTTCATCTCTTGCATATCGACTGTAAATATTTGCTAAAGGAAGTTCGACTTTCTGATTTAACATTCTTTGCAAATAATACCATGACATTGCAGTGAATTCTGTATATATTTGTTCGTCTTTCTTTGGATTGTCTTCGTAGATTTGAAATGACACTTGTGAATTTTGTTTGTCATATACAATTCTCACATAAAGTGTGCTCTCGGTATTTGCATATTCATCAGCATATTTTGCATAACATGAATTTATTTTATCTTCTATATTTTTTAACGCAGTCTGTAGAGAAGATGAAAGGTCAACTTGTATTAGCTCAATTTCTTCCCACATTTTTCGTTTCCCTTCAGATATATAATCTATATGAAACCTTACAATAAATGGAAAACTTTTATCTTCTACAGACACAAACTTCATTCTACGAAAGCCAATAGCTTTTGTGACAGATGGGTCTCTTAGCCATCTTAATGGGTAGTCAAAACGATAGCCTTCATGCTTTACGGTCTCTGTCTCAAACTTTTGACCGACATTAGTAAAAAGTTCATCTAATGGTTTAGTTGTAGCAACTCTTGAATTTTCTTTTTCTATTGAAAGCATATTTTATCTAGAATAAAAATGTCGAAAGAAACAGCGTCTATGAGAGAAATACAACACAACCGACAACTCATTATGCAAGCTCTAAATAAGAACACAACAAACTTTTCAAACTATTCTAAGATATCTGAGTCATTGAAAGAAGGAAACTTAAAACTGACGATAAACCCATTGACAGACGAGTTTCTGTTTCAAGACAGTAAGAACCATACTGTTTGTATAAATCCAACAAAAGGAACTTTAAACGAGAAACCTATAAAAGAACTTCTTTTGAAAGCAGATGTTGACAACAAAGCTGACAAAGAGTATGTCATTGAAAAAGTTCAAGAAGAACATGACAGAGCAGATGCAACATATGCAACGAAAGAACATACTCATCCTGAACTAGCAGACAAAACATATGTTGACAATAAAATGTCAAGTGAAGTGACAAGAGCTGAAAACGAATATTCTAAAAAGACTCATACACATTCTATATCTGATATTACAAACTTACAAGAAACCTTAAACAGTAAAAGTGACGTTGGACATACACATACCATTGCAAATATAACAAACTTACAAGAAACATTAGAGACAAAAGCAGATAAAACATATGTCAATGAAATATACCAAAGTTTAGTTGGAACAAAAAATATTGAAACTATTGTTGGTGACTTTTCTGTCAATGAAGAAAACAAATATTTTAGATGGGAGTTTGTACACTCCTTAAAAAATGGTATACGGTATAAACTCATTCCGAAAAATAACAATGAAATGTATGTAGGCTATATAAAGAATGATGGTACACAAGTTAAAGTTCCATTAGACAACAACTGCTACTTAAACTTATATGGAGACGAACAAAAGAAATATTTAAGAGTTTATGAAATGGCAGATATGACATTGCCTGACCCAGCTCCAGCACCATATTATTATGACTATGGTGTTGACGCACGTGTAGACCCAAAAAAGCAAACATTATATTTAGAATATTATAGATATAAAAGATATAATGCAATAGAAAAAACGAGAATAGTATATTATTATACAGATGACAGAAATAAATATTATAGTCAAGATTTTACCTACCCTGAAAACATAAGATTATATTATAAAAAATATTCTGACACAAACCAGAAGAAACCTGAAATAGTTACACTATATTTTAAGTTCAAAAGAGACAATCCTATATTATCTCATATGTTTGATTTAATGAACCCAGTAGGTTCTATTTATACATCTATGGAAGCAAGAAGTCCTCAAGTAATGTTTGGTGTTGGTGCATGGGAACAAATAGTCGACAGGTTTTTGTATTGTGCAAACTCTTCAAAGGAAACAGGTGGAAGTAAAACGATTTCAGGTGAAAATTTACCTGCACACAGTCACTACATAGATTTAAGTACATCTCAAGCAGGTTGGCATAAGCATAAATTTTGGGATTGGCACGCCTTGAAAAAAGGTAAAGGATATGATGTTAAAGACGACGTTCAGTTTGCTATAAATTGTTACTGGAGTGACACTCAGGGAGATGGAAACCATACACATCGCGTTTCAGGATATACGCAAACAACGGGACAAAGTAAAGAATACATGCCACCTTACATGACAGTTTACGCATGGTATAGAATTGCTTAGTCGTCATTTTCAACTTCTTTAGCATATTCGTCAGCAGTTGTCTTATATTTGTTAGGAACTGTCTTTGAAAGTATACCACCTTGAACTTTGACAAGTTTGAAACGAGGTCTGACAATAGTAGTTTTATCTTCTGCTTGCAGTGTGTACATTTTGCCATGTTTGCCTAAAACTTCATAATATTCTCTTGTATACTTTCTTCTATTTTTACGAACACGAATGTGAGTACCTGTCGAGTTCCCATTGTTGTCATAGTCAATAGTATTTTCATATGGGTCGCGTTTAGGTATTTCTATTTTTACTTTGTCACCTTTCTTAAGTTTGAAGCCTGGCATTCTTTCTTGTTTGTCTCTTTTGACTAAACTATTAAATATATAGTCTTTCTCTAAGTCGGGGTTGTTTTTCATTTCTTCGGGGGAGTGGTTTCCCAAACCTTTTTGTTTACGGCTATTGTAAATATTTAAAACTTGTCTCATCTTTGCCATGGAGAAATGTCTATATTTGTCGTCATATGACATTTCATCTACCTCACCACCTTGTGGTTGGTTTAAGTCTCTTAAGATTTTTATACAACTGTCAATGACACCAAGAGCAGAATGGTTTTGGTCGACAATGAAATATTGGTTTACATTTTTTGAACGCAGATAGTTTTTAATATCGTCTGATTTGAAAGAACTTTCACAGTCAGATGTCAGTTTTGTTGGATGGTATTTGTCAACGAATATTGTCAAAGCAGTTTTCACATCTAAAATATTTTTGGACTGTAATGGTATGGCTTCACAGTATCTTGTGTTTTGACCAACAAATATTAGCCAGTATGGTGGTCCATCTTCTCTAACTCTCGGAATGTTTTCCAAGATATCCATAAACCAAGCATTTGGTGTTGAACTAAAGATTTTTATCATGAGTGCTTTCTTTGTTGCCTTAGAAACATAGGGGTCCTTGTTTGAATTCGTCATTTTTAACCCATAAGAAATGGGTTTATTTGGCGCATTAGCAGGAGTTGCATCAGATTTTTGCCCGCAGTGGGAACAATAGCCAGAGGTGTATTTGGAGTTGGAAGGAAGATTTTGAGTACATTAGGTATACTGAAAGAGAAAGCACAACCTATTATACAAACTGTACAGAAAGGTTGGGAGGTAGCACGAGATGCAGCAAATCTTATTCCAAATCCTGAAACAAGAGGAAAAGTTCAAGGATGGATGGACAATGTAGGAAGACAAGCAGGAAACTACTATAACAAAGCAAATGACTACTATAACCAAGCAGGCACTACATGGACCAAGGTGAAAGATTCTTTAACAGAGGATATAACCATGCACAACAATGGGTAAACAACAACCAACCTCAACCGCCTCAAACTTGGGGAATGTAAAATTTTTTACTGAGATGAAATGAACAATACAGCATTGAGACAAATGGGCTCAAGATGGATTTGTCGGCTTCCAGCAGTTACACAACCACGTGTTTGTCAAGTTCTTCCTATACCTCAGGAAGTTTTAGACCGACTTAAAAAACCTAAACAACCAGTTGAAAACAAACCAAACTAAAATTTTTTACTGAGATGAAATGACCGAAGAAGTTGAAACGGTAGATTTGACACCACAAACAAAAAGTTCAGAACCATTGTCAAAACCTGTCAAAGAACTTACAGATGAAGAAAAAAATTCAATAATAGAAAGTGCCAGGTCTGGAAATACAAACCCTAACTACAAAGTCACTTTTCATAGAAATGGAACGGCTAGTATCTCAAAAAAGAAACAGACTCTCACAAATAAAATATTGAAGTCTGAAGGAGCTTTCGAGACAACAGATGGAAAAGTTTACTTCACTGACCAACAGTTCATTATAGAACATCTCATTGACTTAGAGTCGAAATATTCTAAACTTTACAACAAACACAAAAAGTTGAAAGGAAAACAAAAACAAATGGCATATGATATTTATGAAGATGTTGACGACACAACTGTTCCTGCAGTGAGGTAAAGTCAGAGGAACCGAAAAGTGACGAAAAACCGATAGAAGAAGAGAAACCAAAAACTGAAGATAAACCAAAACCAAAGTTTAGTTTCCAAACTAAACCAAGTCAACCTTCATTAGCTGGTATGGGTTGGCGTCAAAGACTTTGGCAGCAGGCGGTTATGTAAAGTAAAGAAAAAACATTTTTTTATTTTTATAAAAATGCCCCCGTATAGAATGGATAGAAGGTCTGCTAGAATAAAAGCAGAGTTAGAAAGATATGGTTGGAGAGTTTCAAAGAAGTTTAAATATAGGAAGGGAAGACCCATAAAAGTCTATGACAAATTGTCTGGTCTTCGCTATGAAATGGACTTAGAAACAGCACGCGCAAATTATCCAAACAGATTAGAGAGGTTAGAAGAAGAACGTCTTATGGACATGCCTTTCGATGTTAGTGAGCCTCAAGTTGAAGGACACGACGGCTTTGCCAGATTCTACTGGAAACATGACGAACAATTGCATCCTTTGAGAAGGAAAAAAGGAAAAGGTGAAGACAAACATGCTCCCATGGAAAGAACAAGATATGCATATGAAAAGTACCGTGAAGTTAGAAGTCAAATTACATCTGGTCGAACCTTTACAGTAAACTTTGACGAAGGAAAGAACAAAGAAGGCTTCATGGGTGTACTTGCTGCCATACAAGATGGAAATAAGAAAGGATACAATCTCAGATTGACCATAACAGATTTGGATGGTCACATTTACTATGCACATGGCAATGTCACAACAGCTGCAATGCTTCTTGACGCTTTCAAGACTACAAAGAGAGAACAAATGGTTGACTCCGACTCAGACATTTTGAATGCAATTGAAGGAATTGCAAGTGTAAAATTTGAATGGTACCAACCGAACCCTCAAGCAGTCAGACAACATGCTGGATACTTCCCGTTCATAAATAAGTCTGACATTGACTTGACAAGGTATGGAATTTACAATTCAATTGAAACAATTGTCAATGAACCTTGTATTCTTACATGTCTCAGGAACTCTGGTCTTGTTACAGATGAGAAAATGAAGTATCTTGAGTCATGTGTGAAACAAGGTACATTGCTCAGAGGTCAATTGACAAAAATTGCACCGTTGGCAAATGTGAATATCCGAGTCAACATTCCGACTGAGAAAGGTTCTTCACATGACGACTATGTTGTTGACAAAGACTTACCATGGTTGAAGATTGTAATTGTCCACAACCACTTCATGTTGAACGAAAGTCTTACAAACCCATTGTTCGGAAAAGGCAAGTGCAACATTGTCAGAGCTGTAAACATTCTTTTCGAGAAAGGTTTGTTGGAACCAATTCCAGATGACAAGCTGACAGAAACTTTTGTACCAAAAGACGAAACAAACTTTTCACTGTTAGCAAGACCAAAAGTTGTTCCAGACAAAGTTCTAGTACAAAAGAAGTACACAATTCCACAAGGAGTTGGATTGTTCGGATACCAACCTGAACCAGAAGAACTTCCAATGAGGTTGCAAGAACTTCAAGATGCTATAAACAAACTTCCATTGAGACATCCAATTGACGTCAAATTGTATTGGAGAGCATCTGAGTTAGGTCAGAAGGTTTTATATGAAACAGGTTGCTTCGACGATGTTTATGAGATAACAGGCGAGGTTTCTCAGAAGATAAGAGACTCACTTGAATTTCCACAAACTGGACCAATTGGTTGCGACAAGTTCGACTCATATGAAAAGATATACTATGTCGACCTTAACGCTGCATACATGAGGTTTGTCCAATATATCCCGACTGGAATTCCAAACGAAGACGGTGAGTTCCCAGGAAGGAACTATACAGTTGGAAAAGTCATACAACAACTGTATGATATTAGGAAAGCTTCAAACCCCAAACTTGCAATGACACTCAAATTGCTTATGAATTCGACATGGGGATATTCCATAAAGAAACCTCAAGAGATGAAGAGTAAACATTATGAGAAGGTCGACAACTTTGTTGAAAGGTTTTCTCCTTTTGTTTTGAAGTACGAATTCACTCAAGGTCAAAGTGGCTTAGTAACCACATTAAAACCTATTGTCGAACATTGGTCTTACCCTCAGTTCGCAAAGGCAGTCCTTGACAACTACAACAAATTCTTCTCGGAAGTCAAATCCAAAGTGAAGGTTTACTATGAGAACATCGATGCACTCATGACGAACGAAGAAGGCTATAACAAACTCATTGAAATGGGCATGGTCGGTGAAAAGATGGGTCAATTCAAATTGGACAAAATTTTCACCGAAGTTCATGTAATATCGAAAAGGAAGTACTGGGGTGTTAAAGAAGATGGTGAAATAGTTAAACATTGCATGAAATAAAAAATTTTTATTCGAATTTGAATCGGACAGGTCGAGTTACACCATTCTTGGTCTCAAACTCATATATAACCTGTTTGTCTGTATTTTCGTCGACTATGGCACGAGACACAAACATTGACCAAACGGACAAAAAGTGTCATTTCAGATGGTCACGCAGCCAATCGCATTCGAGCACTTCGAAGAAGCCTTACGTTCCAAGGGAGAGGGTGTCTGGTGCAAGGCAGAGGTCATGAAACTCTACGAGCAGTACATCCTCAATGCCTGGGAGGACAAATCGTCCTTGGATTGGCAATTCTACCAACTCCTCTGGGACGACCTCCTACGCAACTGGGATGACGAAAGAGTCCAATTCAGGGGTCAGGAACTACTTGTCCAAATTCTCATTAATTTAAGCTACTTAACTAAATAAACACCTAAATTTACTCGGGTTTCCCCCTAAAATAAAATTTTTTTACTCTTAGAACCACTCGAGGTTCTCCTTACGGTTGTTGAGCTTGTCACCGTCAATGTGTCTGACCTTCGTCTTCTTGCCTGGATTTGGAACCCATTGAATTGCGACAAGCTTGCCCATGGAAATTGAACCGCGATTCCGAAGGTTAAGGTTCAAGTGTCCCAAGTTGTTGAGGACTGGGGTAAGAACCTTGCCTGTCTCCTGTTGCGGATTTTGTATGGGTAGGGTTGGGAAATTTCGTAACGTCATCGGCAACAAGGGTTGCCCAAACTTCCTTTTCTTCGTGTTTCTCTTCTTCTTCCTCTTCTTCTTCGTGTTTCTCTTCTTCTTCGTGTTTCTCTTCTTCCTCGAAAATTCCTTCTTCAATTTGGTACTCACGAATTACGGTGTTGGAGTTCTGTCCTTTCCGAGTACCTTCCAGATGGCGTCTATCTCTTCGAAGAAACGGTAGATGAGTCTGGCAAGGTCTCGGTTCTCTCTCGCGTAAATGCGCAAGGTTTCCGTCAAATCATTCAGGCATTTCTCATTGGAAGCTTGGTTCATGAGGACATCGGCTTTGAGCTTGGTCATCTCTTCCATAAGACTACTTTGGAGAGTCTTAACGGTGTTTGTCAGATGAGCTTTCAAATTCAAAATTTGAATTTGAACTGGGCGCTTGTCTGGCAACATTGAAAGGACATCTGCCATTGTGTTCGGCTTCGGTGCTTGTTCGGACATCGAAAAAATGAAGTGGTTTGAGAATGACGGTTTTACTTCAAAAAGCTTGTTATGACGGTTAAGTCATACAACAAGTTTAAAATAATATCTTGTTCTTCTTCTGAACGTTTGTTGTCTCTTCCGATAAAAGTTTCGAACATGAGAACCAAAAAACGTTTTTTGAGATTGCGGAAGAGTTCAGGCAAACGTTCATATTCTGGATATGTTGGGAGCAGTTCAAAACATCTGAGCTGACTTTCGGACAAAATTGGGACAATGTCAGAAAATTCATCTTTGGTCGGACTGCTTGAAGGTAAGTCCCTTACATGTAAGTAGCTCTGGTAAAGTCTTCTCATCTCTGCTAACTTCTGGAGTATAGCTTCGTATTTAAGAGTTTTAATTTTAATTGTCTTATTCCACTCTTTACTTCTAAACGGTAAGTATCCATGAGGTCAAGAGTAGCTTTGGTAGCTTTAAGTGGAGCTATTTGTTCCTTGACTTCTGCAATTTTGGTTGCAATTGTGGTTTGAGCTCCTTCAAGTTCGCCGTCTATGTCGTTCTCAACGCCTTCAACCATGGCTTGAAACTCTTCATCGGTCCATTGAGATTGGTGTGGGACGAATTTAACTTGCTTCATTCAAAAAATGAAAAAAAATGTTTTTACTCAAACGTTAAGGTTGACTGAAACTGGTTGGATGTCGCCTTCACAGGTTATGTAGAACGGCTGACCCGAGAAGTGAAGGAGAGACTGAATTGCCATTTCATATGGGGTAGGGGGTTTCTCCTTGTTTTGGTATTTTTATCCAAGGACGTTTGTTTAGGAACTTAACAAGAGCTTCTCTTTGGCGTCCTTTATGCCATCGTAGCTGTCCCGTCTGGTATTTGAATTGGAATTCCAGTCGAAGTCTCGAGCTGAAGTGTAGACCTTCCAGAAATAGTGGTGAACTTGACCTTGGGCTTCATTACCTGCGCAAGTACTGCTTAACAACTTCATTTATCTCTATAAGGTAAATTGCCTCGTCAAATCCTTCTTGGTATTCCGAGTCCTTCCATCCGACAGGAAAAATATTTTCCCGACAACTGGAAAAAAATTTTCCCGACGACAGGAAGAACTCTTCCAGTTGTCCGTCCGTAAACCATTCAAATTTTCGAAAATTGAGAACTTTTGTCGAACTTCAGAAAAAGTTTTTCCTTCCGACAGAAAAAGTTTTTCCTTCCGACGGGAAAGGTTTTTCCTTCCGACAGGAAAGGTTTTTCCTTCCGACAGGAAAGGTTTTTTCCTTCCGACGGTTAAGCCACAAACAGATGTCCGACGTCCCACCAACCGAGCCCATATCCCAACCAGAAGAACCGAAAGCTGCAGAACCACAACAGTCTCCTCAGCAACCTCAGTTCCAGCAAGTACCTCCGATTTACTACCAATTTCCACCTCAATGTTACTACCCACCACAAGGCTTCCCGAACTACCCTCCTCAGCCTATGCCTTACTTCCCCAACCCTTGGATGTTTATGCAAAACCCTGCCCCACAATTCCAATCTCAATCAAGAGAGACCAAGAGTTCGAGGAAGGTCTGAACCGCTTACGCAAAGAGTATGCTACTACCCCAATGGAAGAAGACAGGCTCTCACTCTCTTCCCTCAAATCGACCGATTCGACTCGTACCACAGATTCGGTTCGTGGACCGTGAAGACTACCTCAAGCAGTCTGAAGACTCTTCATCCTACAACCATTTACAGTTGGAGCTCTCAAGAACATGCCGCAATTACGAAGGTCAGACACCAGCTGGAGACCGTAAAACAGACGTACTCGCAAGAGCAGTCCAACTGGTCAAGACAAAGACCGAGATAGTCGACTTCATTCTTGCAGCTTGCCCATACAAGTAAAAAAATAAACAATTACGAGTTAAAACTTTTTATTCTTTCTTTTCTGAGTTGTTTAGAGCTGGTTTCTCTTGTAGGAACCTTTCGTACTCTTCCATGGTCATGTAATTGCGAATTTGGTACGCAATTCCCAGGTTCGTTGTTTTTGAACCTTACGTATGTAACGCTTCCATCCTCCTCAGGGAAGTAAGCTGCTAACATCTGACCAAGTTTTCTCGGTGACTCGGAGCTCATAAAAATGTCACTTTTTAAACGTTAAGTTTTTAGTCTTATTTTACCCTTTGTTTACCCTTTGTTTACCCTTTGTTTTCAAGGTAGTATTGGAGTGCAATTTCTCCAAATTCTCTGTGTCGGAGTTCTTCAGCATTTTCCAAGGTGTTCCTGGAGAACTCAAAGAAGTTGTCAAGAACATACTGCCATGCTGCTCTTCTGAGTTCGTCGGTATTTTGGAAGTGTTGCACCTTCGAGTCTTCGGACATGAAAAAATAACACTTTTTCTATTAAACCGTTTACAATTTGAATTTTGTTGCTGAATTCAGCAAAATATAATTTAGGGTAGATGGGTATATCTAACCTCTTTTCTAACCTCTTTTCTACCCTCTTGAATTTTCATGAATTTTATACAGAAAATGCTTGTTTTGAGGTCGAGCCACTTTTGGCTCCACCGTATTCTTTCAACCAAAACTCATGAATTCGGCAAAAATATATTTTAGGGTAGAAGGTTAGATATAACCTCTTTTCTAACCTCTTTTCTACCCTCTTGAATTTGTCATGAGTTTTCCCGAAATAAAAAAAATAGTTGGTTTTTTTAAAAAATATTTTTTTATTTTTATTGTAAGAACATGTTAGCAACAACAGCACCAAACTCGTTAGTCATGAACCCAACTTCAATGTTAGTAGAGATGAAAAGCTTCATTCCTTCTTCATATACTTTCGAAACAAAAATCCAGAAGATAAAGCAAGAACTTTTAACAAGTACTTTGGACTGTTGTGCGAAAGATGAAACAATGAACAGTATCTTTATGACATGCAGGACCTCATCGACCATTTACCCAAATTGCCTGAAATCCAGCAACAAAACTTACTATTCCAGAATTCGATGAAATAGAAGTCAAAGCAACTGACTCAGTAGAAATAAAGAAGTTCATACGAAAGGTTAACTATGAGTTTTTGGATTTCATTGCAACCACAAAGTCATGGACAAAGATTGCGATATGGTATATAAGAACATCTCTGACATATACAAATCTGGGGAGTTTAAGACCTACGACAACTTTGTTTCGTTAGTTGCTGAAATGTGTATGGCAGATAAGAGATAAAGATAGAAGAGGTAAGATATGGAATGAACAGATAAAACCCGCAACTTTTGAGTTAAAAGAGCAATTGACGCCTTAGTCATACTAGCAGGTAAGGTTTCAGAATATAACGCAAAATGAACCCACAATGTTCTAAATGTAAAGCAGCAATGAGGAAATATAACTACTCCGTCAAAGAGATAGAACGTATGCGAAACGACTATGCTGACTTAAAGAGGGAGGCAGAGAAACCAGCAGAAGATAAAATGGACATGTTGACATTTCTAAACAAAAACTATCCAACAGCTGACGATTTCCTTCTTTCAGATGTCAAGAAGAAATATAAAGAAACCTTCGGCATTGTTAAAACATTCGATGTACTGACAGAAGAAATAGAAGCTACGAAATTGTTTAAAGTCTCACGAATTCACAATGTTTACCATGTAAAACGCTTATAAAATAACTGGGGTAGAAAAGAGGTTAGAAAACAGGTTAGATCTAACCTTCTACCCTAAACATTATTTTTGCTGAATTCCGTATGAAAATCGTGAAAAATAACAGAGTATTTTGACAACTTCAAACAAGCAGAGTAAATGAACCATTTATTTTTATTGACTTTTTACAATTTGAACTTTGTTTGCGTAGATATGAATTCTGAAAGAAGTATGAGGGTCTTGTATGACTTTGTACTTCTCCCATAGTTCATGTCTGTCAAACTTACCTGCCATGGACTCTTTCATAAGTTCCATGAAATCGTCTTCGGACAATCCAGGGAAAAGTATAATGTCAGTAAGTATTCTTTTAACATCTTTACTTAAACTCTTTGCTGTCTGTACACAAATGACAACTGAGATGTTAAAGTGTCTGAGCTTCTTAAGAATTCGACACATATCTTGTTCTCTATTCTTAAGCAAAGGATGAGAAGCAAAGTCATCTAAGATAAGAAGACATCTATGAGGGTAAGTCTTCCAATCGTAAGATTGCAATTTCTTCGAAATGTATTCTATCTCTTTCTGTTTGTTTCTGAAGTGTTTCTTCTCTAATATTCTCTGCATTTCCTCATTTGGGTCTTTAAACTTAGAATTTATATACTCATTTATAGCATTATACTTCAAAACTCTTCTTTGGTACTTCTTTATCCAATCTAACAACTCAGTATCCTTTATACATACTAACTTAGACTTCTTTATAATATCTTTGAACGAATTGACGGTTTGGTCAAATTGACCAGAAGTACTACAAATAACAACTAACTCATAGAATGGGTTCTTCTCATCTAGTTCTTGTTGTTGTGCAGCCATTTTAAGATAAGTGAAAGTCTTACCCGACCCAGGTGGTGCGATTAGACCTGTTATACCATTCTGAGCAAATAGGAACTTGTCATGTATGGGTTTTATCTGAGCATTTTCCAACTTCCTCTTGTTCTTTTTAAAACATTCTCAAATTTCTTGTCAATGTCAGCAAACTTTTTTTCTAACATATTTTTAGAAAAATTAAAATTTTTATTTGAAAATGTCTAGCGATTTCGCTATCTATATTCGAGACAAACTTTTCGACAGCAAAACTCTGTCGACCATAAAATCTTACATAGTGTAAACAAGAAAGGTGAATTTGTTCTAAAGTTCTGTTTCTGGGAATATGACAAGAACCATAAAACATTAGCAGAGAAGTCTTAAAATTTGTCAATGACAGACTTGTTGACAGAGATGACGCCGATTGGAAAGATGAAGTCCAACAAAAGTTCTTAGAATGCAAAGAAGACACATGCGCTGTTCTTGAAGATGAAATAGAAAACAGAATAGAAGAGCTATTAAAGGACAAAGAACTTTTACATAAATATGGTTCTGAGAAATTTGACATAACTCCACCAGAGAAGAAGAAGAAGAGAGAGAAGAAAGAAAAGAAAGTAGAAGAAGAGAAGAAAGACCTGAACCAGTTCCAGAGAAAAAGAAATTTGACATGTAAAAATAAAATTTTATTTTTAGAACATTTCTGGGTCAATGTCAATGTTCTCTTCCTCTTTAGGAGCAAACACTGGCTTAGACTCTAAAATCTTTTTACCCAATTTACCTTGAACTTCAACTATCTTAGACTCATAATATTCATAGTCGTCTGCTTTCTTTGGTTCATAAGGTATAACAAGTTTGTATGCTTTGCCTTCTTTAAGGTTTGAAACCTTCTGTCAAAATTTTCTTTGACTGCTAACAAACCTTCTATGTCTAAGTCTTCAAATTTCGCACCATTTTTAGTCACAATAGCAAACTTAACTGGTTCGATGTTCCAAACTTTGTCAAATGTAGACTTTTCAAAATGGTAGAAGTAAACATTCAAATGCGAATGGGTCTAGTTCTTCTTTGACTTCTGTCATGTACTTGTTTACTGAAATATATTTCGTCATCTTTTCTATCGGATAAAAAAATATTTTTTTTAAATTTACTCAGAAAAATTTTTCTTTGTATATACGCCGTTCTGATCTAAAAGATTTTTGACATTTGCCAAGAATGTTCGTTTAGACGCTGCCATATAACCATATTCTTGACAATATTGTTTATATTCATCGTACAATGACCTTTCATCTAAACACTCAAAGTTAGTCTCATCTATAAACAGTTCATATACACTCTTGTTTGCTTCTAACAATGTTTGTCTCTCTTCGGTATGTGGAATTTGTCTTGGATTGAACTTAGAAATATCTAATGTCATGAAATATGAGAACAAGTGGTTGTAAAAGTTAGGTGTCAAAGTTTCTGCTAAGTCGTCAAAATATTCTGTATCTTGCATATGAGAATCTGACGTTCTGACAACTACATATCTTCTGTCAGAACTTTCTAACTTCATCGGAACAACATTGTTTGAAACCATGATGAAATTTGCAACATTTTCACAAACTCTTTGGTCTTTATATTTTCTTTCAACAACTCCAACTTTGTCTGTTATAAGACTCTTCAAAGCATCTGAGTTTAAAACTTTGTTGTATCTATACTTTGAAGTTCGTTACATACTATAAGTTTCATATTCTCTATTGAAGAGTTAAATTTACCGCAGATGTTTTCTAAGTTTGTCATATTAGGGTTCGAATAGCCCTCTAACAGTTTGCATAAGATATCTGTAAAGAAAGTGTTCTTACCAGTTCCTTGTTTTCCAATTATAATGAGAGCAGTTTCATTTTTAGCACTTGGATGTTGTAAGATGTTTGCAAACCAACATAAGATATACTCATAGACTCTTTCGTTTCCATTGCATATAATTTCTTTGACATGGTCTAACCAAGCTTCTATAACATTTTCTTTCCATTCTACTTGTTCGTATTTATATCCAGTGAAGATAGAATAGAAGTTTGGAGAAGGTGTATAGAACTTTATACCACGAACTGAAAAATCTTCTAACTTTGACAATAAGATATCCCAAGCATCTAACATCTTCATTCCAACTTGTACGACTTTTATTTTCTTAAGTTTCTGTCTACATTCTTGTTCTGAAACTATTGTCGCTTTAGGTTTGTTAAAGACAACATCCCATTCTTTCATGACATAACATTCTGGGGCAGAGTCGACATAAATGACTAAACGTTTCAAATTCTCGACTGCTTTGTTATAGTCTCTAAATGGACACATATTTCTGAATGCTTGGAAGTCATAAAAATCTGAAACATCTATTCTGTACATTTTTATAAAAATAAAAAAAATATTATTTTTTTATTCTTGACTTTGTTGTTCCATTTGTTGCATTTGTTGTTCTTGAGCTATTTGTTGTTGAAGTTGTTCTTGTAATACAATACTTTCACCAGTTGCATCTTCCAATTCGAAACTTTCTGCCGTCATTGACAAATACATAGGACATAAAAGTTTTACAGGAACAAAGTTTGCGTCAACTAAGGTTAAGTTTATGTTTGCTAAAGTGTTTGAGTTTACTAAAGCTGAAAACTCTGCATTCGAATGAACAATAGGCAAACCAGCAGAGAAAGTGTTGTTTATACGCATGAGTATCTTTTGGTCATAGTAGTTTCTGTCGACATTCGAATAGCACTTTGAACCTAAGTTTGAAACAATATATAAAATAGGTGTGCTTAAAGTCAATGGAACAGACATTCCTTGTATGACACCTTTTCCTGTTATAGGAAACTGTTGGTAGTAAAAACCAGATATAAGTTTTGTATTATAGCTCATATCGTTTATAGTAAACTCAGTCGGACATCCAAACATAATGAAACCTGCTCTAGTTGCAGCACATGTTACATCCGTCCTTAAAGTATTAAATAAGTCAACAAAACCTGTTGGTGGTATATCTGAGTAAGTATCTTCAAAGAAGTATTTTTTACCATTCACAACAACAAAGTCTTCTGGTGTCAAAAGAGCAAAACAGGCTTTAGTCGTCATCGTGTTTAAGTTAGTTTACAATATCGTCCTTGAGGACTTTGTAAGTTTGTTGTTATAGAATTATATGACTCAGGGTTTTTAGTCGTAATAGTATAAACCACTATGTCTTCTGCCATTTACTTAGCAAATAAATTTTAATGAAATGTTGTGGTCGTCAAATATTTTTATGACGTCTGGGAAACTATATTTTAAGTTCAACGTTTCACCTCCTTTCATAACGTATATCTTGTCAATGACATTATATGAAACACCACAGCAAGCAATGTCGGGTTCTATTTCTTTGATGTTTATATCGTCTGCCTCTGTCAAAAGTTTCAATAGTTCTTTCAAAACTTCATGAGGTGCAATGACATATGAGTTCACTTTTACAGGGTTGTGTTCGACCAAGTTTAACATTATACCTAAAGCTTGACAAATCTTCTCCTGAGTTTGAAGTTTGTCTTTAGTTGTTGGTAGTCGTTTCGAATATCTGCAACAGAACTTAAGTCTCTGCTAACTTCAGGATATGTTGGTTGTTCTTTTACAGGAACTATTGTTATACCATCTTCGTCTTCGTATGGTTTCCCCACTTCAACATCTCTTCTTTGACATTGACAACAACACTTTGACTGTTTGTTTGAGTTGGTGAATTTAACTTCACATCTGCCACCGCCATTAAACCTTTTGAAACACTTACGCTTCTATTTTTCGGAAATGACATTTTACTTAGAATAAAAAGATGGACGTATTTGAGTATCTCTTCGAATTGAAGCAGAACAAAGTTTACACACACAAACAATACAAATACATTGACAGAATAGTTCTTTATACAAACAATGGAAAATGTTATAGAATAGCAGTCTTTGCTGAACCAAAATATTTTCATAAAGCAAAGAAAGTTGGTATAACTGAAATGGTGAAAGTTCTTGACGTTGACAAAAATATCAACAAAACTGACCGATATTTCTAAAGGTAAGTTTATAATACAATTTTATGTCAAAACTGGCGTACTGTCAATATTTGACGGAGAGAAGTCAGTTCAAGAACAACTTACTGACCTGCTGCCAAAATCTGCTCGATGGAAGCTGTCGTTATGCCAATCTGAGGAGCCCCAGCAGGTTTCATCGAACGAATCTTCAAAAGAGCATCTTCCGTGAAAAGTGCTATTGGTTTTGTAAACTTCTTTGCTTTCAATTCATCTGGACCGTCTCTGTCACCAGTATATTGTATTTGACTGTACCAACAGTTGAAATACCACCCATAAAGTCTTCTGAGTCAGCAAATGGAATGCCAAGCCAAAAGTTTGAACGGTCTCCATTTGTATATTGAGTTTTTTGACTCCTGTATGGTCCATACTTTCACATATGGCATAATAGAACTTTGCATTTCAGGGTTAATGGTTGTTGTGAAGTTGTTGTTAAAGTTCATAGCATCTAATGTCAAGTTGTATGACCTCATATCCTCAACTGTAGAATATTCTTCTCTTGGATAATATTTGCCATCTATGTTTATATGATATTTAATACCAGGGTTGTAGAAACAAGAATAGTCATTTATAGTTCGTCTGAACAGTACAAACATAGTATCTGCATGTTTCATTGCAGTTGTTAAAGCAATATCTGTTCTTGCACCTGGGTCAGCACTTTGGTTTCCAACTTCACCTGCAAAGTCTTTGACAGATATTTGGTGTATAGGGAACATAAGTGGAACTGCAATATATTTGGCAGCTAAAGCATTTGAAATATCTGGGTCCAACATATAGACTGCAAGTCTGCTTTCTATTCTCTTGCATTCAAATTTTCGCATGTGAACTTAACTGGGTCCCAAGCAGTTCCAGCAGCATTGAAATAATAGTTTACTTCAGTGTTGAGGTTTGAGAAACCAAAGTCTAAGTCAACTTTGTCTTTGCAAAATCGGCGAATGACGTTGATTTGTTCCCTTACGTCTGTAAGAGTGAATGGGTCTTGTGTTGGTGCAATGACTAAGTTATTTTTGCTTGGAGTAAGTTCGATAGAAATTTTTCCTGCCCAGTTTGGCAAGTATCTTAAAAACCTGAAGATGAGGAAAGATGACAAAGGAACTCTAAGTTTCAGTTTTACTTTAGTGCAGCAGTTCCATCTGAACCAGAAAGGTTAACATAAACTCCTGGAACGTTAGGGTCAAGTCTTCTTATTTTCTCAATAGTTGCATACTGGTCTGTTTGTTCTCTAGCTTGTGGTTGTACTGAGTTTCTCAAAGCGAACCATTCATAGTTTGCCCATGTTACTGTTTGAACTAAGTCAGAGTTAGAATATATCTTATATCCCATGAAAACTTCTGGAGCATATTGGTATCCGACATAGAAAATTCCATTGCAACCTTTCTTGTCAGACAACTTGGCAGAAGGTTTTATTTCAATGTCTTGTTCCACGTATAAGAAAGAGTTGTCAATAGAAATAATATGAAACCTGTCGCAAGCAATATCTACTGTTGTTGAAGAACCTTCTCCAAACTCACCTACGTTTCCATAAGAAACAGCAGTTGTATATTCGTAAGTTCCAGGAACTATTTCTGACCTTCTAATGGCATTGTCGCATTCGTTATACCATTCGGAAACATTTCCATTCATAGCATCCAAAACTGTTGGCGTTATATTCTGAGCGGCGTACATTTCATATGAGTAAAAATATAGAATAGTTGGATTTATATGTCATAATAGAACCCACTGGACCAAGCTTTACTTTCTTCCTGACTGAGTTTTTAACTCTTCTTTTTCCTTCATTGCCCTCTGCTTGAAGTTGTTGCATCTTTGCATTATGTTCATCTAGTATGTTGCAAATTTCCCATGTCCTTTTTGCCTTTTGGCTCTGGTCGCCCATCTCAGGTAACCTATATCCTAGAAAGAGTTTGTCATAGTTGTATTTGAGTCTTCGCGTATTGTTTGCATGACTCTTTCCTGAGTTTCTGGTTCAAGCTCTTCAAACAGTGCCTGTCCATATGGAATATGCTCGTTTCCAAATATATGTTTTTGTAGCCATTCTGGTTTTCTTTCCATGTTACCAACTATATCTTTTGTGAATGGGAAAGCTTTTACCCAATCTTTCAGTCTTGCGTCGTTTATTTCTGTAGTTGGTTTTATTTTGTCAAGGAACATGTTTTTCAATACTAACATTTCATTTGGTACTGTCCATTTGAGTTTTCTTAAATATTCATCCCTTCTCGGTTCATTGTCTGCAAAGTAAGTTTTTATGACATTTTGTAAACTTTCGTTTGCAAGGTCATGTACAATAGGTTCTCTTCCTTCTCTCCCTAACTTTCTTTCTAAACTCTTCACCAAATATACCATCTCTATGGTTCTGTGTAGTTCTTTGAGATAAATGTTCTAGAACGTCAGGTGTTATATTTCCATCAGCCATGTTCATTTCATACTGGTCCAAAATATCTGCATGTTTCATATCTTTCAATGGCATTAAAGCCGCGCTGAAAATACCAGCTATATCTGGTTCACCATTGACTTCCATTGCGTCTACAACTTCTTGGAATTGTGGTTGTAAGTTTATGAACCACCTATCTGGATTAGCTTTATGACCCCATCTCATTGTAGTTCCATCGTCTGCAGAAACAAAAGTAGGTTTGTTTCCATCTTGGTTAGGTTCTGAATGAACTTTAAACAATGTTTCATTTCTATATGTTTTCTTGAAATTTAACCTTTTATTTTCACCGAGTTCATCCGAAGATTGAACGTTAAATGCTCGTAAGTAAAAAGGGTTGTTGTATTTGTGTACATTTTCTTTCAGTGCTTCCATTCTATGCTGAATATTTTCATCTGATGTTGGAGTCTTTTGTATGTCGGCAAACATTTTTCGATATTCTTCTACTATGTCAGCCGAATTTTTTTTAGACTCTTGGAAATATTCCATATTCTCCGCATACTCTTGTTGAGGGTCAAGATTTTTCGGCTGTTCCAAATCTTCATCTAGTTCTGTGAAGTTAGTTTCCAAAGGAGGACTTGTTCGTTTCCTTCAGGCTCTTCTAGCTGTTGTTGCTGAACTATTTCTTCCATGTCTGGTTGTATCTGAACTTCTTCCTGTGGAGTTTCTTGTACCTCATCTGCTGGCATTTCATATATTCCGAGACCGTTTTCAACAATTTCCCTATCTACGTCATCCGCATTCATAAGCTTTTGTTCTTTCGTTCCGTCTCTATTTTTTACGCGTTTCATGACGAAAGTTGAATTGTCATTTAGCTCTGACATCAAATATCTCGGAGTAAATTCATCCATGTCATTTGGATGATATGCTATTAAATCATATCCCTTAGCGAGCTTGTATTTTCCAGGTTTGAGATTATATCCGTTTTTGCTGAGCCATAAAGCTAAATAGGTTCGGGTCAGTATTTCCATCCTTGAACTTTCCAATAGCTTCTTTATATCTGTCACTAAAGTCAACAGTATCTGGGAAACCACACTCTTCTTTAAGCATTTTTAAGAATTCTTGGTTTCCTTGTTCTCTACTTCTTTTATGTCCTTGCTCTGTTTGTGGTTGTTGTGCAGGGTTTTTGAACTGTTGGTTGTGTGCTGTTTTGCTGTTGGTTGTGTGCTGTTTTGCTGTTGGTTGTTGTGCATGTTTTGAACTGTTGGTTGTTGTGTTGGTTGTTGTGTTGGTTTTGGTGCATGCCTGTGTCTGTGTCCATGTGACGATGTAAATGTTTAGGTAGTCCTGGTGCAGGTGCTTCTCTTGGAGGGTTTGGTGGTATATAAGTTCCACCAGCTGGCACATATGTTCCATCTGCAGCATAATGTCCTACCTGACTTTTCGTTTTAAGAAAGCATTTACTAGGTCTGTTTTGGTCTGTTGTAACTCTTTTTCTTGACTTTCCACAACAGTTGCTCTAACGGCGTCATAGGCACTTTGAACTGCCTGTCTCGTTGCTGCATCTGTTATTTTCGTCATATTTTGTGCTACTTCTCTTAACTCTTTGTCGAAACCTTCAGACTTCAGTTTCTTTCCAGATGAGAAGTCGTTCACTTGTTTCACCTTACTATGAAGAGCTTCGAAAGCGTTCTTAAAGTCAGCATTTGTTAAAGCTTCATTTGAACTATCTTCATCCGCTTGTATTTTTGTCCTTATTGACCCTATGAGTTGGGCTGCTTTAGCGTTGGCTTGGGCATCTAACCAGTCATTGTTAGCTTTTATATATTCTGCGCTTTTCATTGCCTTTTGCATAGCCGCGTCGTTATTTTTACTTTCTTGTGCTAAGTTTTCATACTGTACGGTTTGGTTTTGCAACTGTAAAAGTTTTTCTGCCTTTACATTTGCTTCAACTTCTTTTTTATACTCATCGCTATCCATATATGTCTTCAGGGCTTTTTGTTTTATCTCTTCATCTTTCAGTATTTATATTGAGTAGTATGGTTTTTCAAATTTATGACATCTTGTTCCATTTTTGCTACTTCTGCTGCTTTTTCTGACACTTTTTTCGCATATTCCTCTGTACTTAGTTCTTTCAGTTGTTCTTCTTTCTTCTTTTTCTCTACGTTTAACTCATTGAGTTTCTTTGTGTGTCTGTCATATTCTAGTTTCTTTTCGTTTTCACTTATTTGCTTCTGTATGTCTATGTTTGACTTTTTGACATCTGTTATTTGATTTTTGAGTGAACTCAAATTCATTTGACTTTGAGGGTTATAAGCTGTTCCGTCTGCAGCTCCACCATAGCCTGCCATTTTCGCTAAAAGTGCCGCTCTTAAACCTCCACTCTGTGCACCAACAACTCGGTTTAAAAGCATAGGATTGCTTGACATTTGTTGCAACATAGTGGGGTCATTCAGCATTTGTTGTTGCAACTGTTGTTGTGGTGTCAGTTTTACTATTGGATGTTTCAATGCTCTCTTCCTCTTACGTATATTCTTACGTAGCTTACGTGGCATTTTAAGTGAAGTTAAAAAGCGGTTTTTGACAGATGTTTATATGACACTTTTTGTTCAGCACAAAAAACTACTCGGTCAACGGCGATGACTCTCAAAAACCGTTGTGCAAAAAGTTTTACCGTTGGACAAAAAAGCATATATAGAAAACAAAAAACGTTTATAGTTCATTCAATATTTGAGATGGAACGGTTTTCCAACGGTAACTATTAAATAAAATAAAAAAATAGAGGGGGTTACCGTTGACGAAAACGGTTCATCTCAAACTTTTCTATGAGTGGTCCGAAAAAAACAGTTTATTTTTGTCTAATGGAAGGAAGAAAAAGTGTCGCAAACAATTCGTCGACTACCTCTGCAGTTAAAGTTCCTACAACTTATGTCTCACCATTCTCAAAACCCTTACAACCTCCTATAATACCAAAGCAACTTCCTCATACAATTGCAAACAATTCGTCGACTACCTCTGCAGTTAAAGTTCCTACAACTTATGTCTCACCATTCTCAAAACCCTTACAACCTCCTATAATACCAAAGCAACTTCCTCATACAATTGCAAACAATTCGTCGACTACCTCTGCAGTTAAAGTTCCTACAACTTATGTCTCACCATTCTCAAAACCCTTACAACCTCCTATAATACCAAAGCAACTTCCTCATACAATTGCAAACAAATTGTCCAACAATTCAAGACATTCTACTCAAGAAAATACCATACAAACAAACGAAACAACAGATACAGTTGTACCAGACACAACAGGACAAGTTTTACAGTCTTCTCCAATTGCAAACCAATTGTCCAACAATTCAAGACAATCTACTCAAGAAAATACCATACAAACAAACGAAACAACAGATACAGTTGTACCAGACACAACAGGACAAGTTTTACAGTCTTCTCCAATTGCAAACCAATTGTCCAACAATTCAAGACAATCTACTCAAGAAAATACCATACAAACAAACGAAACAACAGAGGAACAACCAAGCGCGTCATCGATGACGACAAGGTCCCAGATGAGATACCTCGCGTTCGCGAAGCAATTTCAATCAGGAGATACAGAAAATACAGAAGAAAACACTACCATACCTGAACGTGTTCGCAGGCAATATGCTAAAAAAAGACTTCAACTCCTTGAAAAACTCAAAAACCAATGGGGAATTCAAGACGACACCGATTATTCGGAAGTGTTTCAGTCTGTTATGGATAGTTTGCAACCAGTTGAAAATGAAGTTAAAGACCCAGGTGTTCTCGTGGACTTGTTTGTTCAATACTTGCCTGTTACAGCAAACCTAATTGCACTACAAGCCATCGACCAATTTATTAGACTTTTCCCCAAAAATATGCAAACTTATTTGCGAAATGTGAAAATTGCTGAGTATGTCAGCATATATCCCAATACCTACAACTATCTCGAAGAATTGGATGAGTATGGGCAAAGGTCCTTTTACGTATACTTTTTTACCAAACCAGGACAGTCAAAACGGTTATATTGTATACAACCTTTACCAGAATTTCAAGACAATTTCCATGTCATATCCACTATAGCGTTAGATACACCAGAAAGAGTTCCATACGGTGGCAAAGTTAGTATTTCAAGCTTCCCGAAAGCTACCAAAGGACATCCTATAAAATTGGCAGAATTCACTAATTCAAATTGCCAATTCAAACAGGATGTTGAGTTTGTATTCTTACACGATACCACATTCATAATACAGACACCTCCAGATGGACTCTACAAAGTATTTATAGCTGGACACGTAGCACCAGATGACGAAGAAGAAGTCGAAGAAATCCTCACCTCAGAGAGCGAAGAAGAAGAAAATTTCCAAGACATTCAAGATTCAGAATATACCGAATAAAAACTTCATTTATACTAAACATCTTCAGGGCTAGAGGGCACGAAGTGCCTGGAAGCCCCACTCCCTTTTTTTTTTTTTTTTTTTTTTTTTTTTGATTATCAAAAATAAGAAAAACTAGGTTTTGAGAACACTTTTGAGATGATAATCAAAATATTTTGATTGAAAAATAATATATTATCTAGAATGAATTTTGTTTTCAAATATCTTAACAAATTCTGATAAAATTAAACTAGTTTTTGTAAAGAAAAAAATGAACGAAAAACTCTGTAGAATCGGTATTCCAAATGAATACATCCGGTACGAATATGAATGAACGGAAAACTTGAAAGTGGTTGAGCCTCTGCTAACTTACGCGAACAGTTTTGAAACACAATCACGTTTGAGAAAGTTGTCTCCAGCTATCTTACTGGAAACTAAACGGTTGAGCGCATTACTATATAATCAGTGCCTCATAGCCTTTAGTTTGTATTAAAAACGAGAAAACTTGTTGAAATGATCAACAAGTTCGAACAAGTTTTCTCGATCTTAAGAGCGGAATGAGTTCCTTATGATGCATACCATTATAAATTATTATACATCATAAGGAAAAAACATTCTCCCTAGATAGCTGAGGCCCTAAATTAACTATTAATCTTTGAGATATTTTTTTATTGAGGTTATACGTTTTTCTAAATAATTAAAATGTAAATTTTGATTATGCACTCATCTCTATATTTTTGGCTCTTTAATATATTTGAATCATGATCTGGGAAGAGTTTCAACAAAGTAATTCACAAAAGCTATTTTCTTGAAATTTAAAAATCCTGTTTATCATATATTACCAAATTTCAATCCCTACATATTTCAAATATCCTATGAACATTTCAAATTTTTGAAAAAACATATTATTTTCCAAATATTTATATGATCAATATTTCTAATAATATTTTCCTGTAAAGCGTCACTTTTTACTTCCTCGCGACGATTATTTCCTCTCAAAAAATTCAATAGCTTACATTTTGACAGAACTTAATATGTAACATATAGAAAAACGGTAATCATATTTTAAATAAAAGTGACAAATTTAATTCTGAATTGACCATCAATCACCGAAACAACTATTTCCTGTCAAAATGGATTATTATATTATCAAGATAATATTGATTCTCGATATAATTCCATTATTATTGATAGATCTTGTATAAATTTCACATTATATAGCATTAATTATTCATCAGTTACTAAAATTTCACTTCCGAATACACTCATTGAATTGCAAGATGATGTGTTTATCAATACTCCAATTAAAGAACTTTTTTTGCCTGCATCTCTTACTAAAATCCATGAAGAAGATCCATTTACATTACTGATGAATCTGGAAAACTTAAACGTCGATAAAAATAACCCTAAATATGCTTCGGTTGATGGTATATTGTTTAATAAAAACATAGAAGAACTAGTCCATTTTCCAGCAGCAAAAAAATTGACAGTTTATTATATGCCAAAAACTGTTAAAATTATTAAAAAACAATCATTATTAGTTCAACATACGTTAACGACTATTATCTTTCAAAACACAATAACAGATGTGGAATTTACCGAACTGAAATTTGCAATTGGAATCCGAAGTCTAATTTTTCCATTAGGAGTTTCCATTCCTGGTCAAGTTTTAGATAAATTAAATATATATAATATTTCTTATTACTCATTGATCATCAAAACATGTCCAATTGTTTATAATAATGCATACTTTAATTTGTATTTATTGTCTCATTTTATGATCTATATTTCATAAATAAAATTTATTTTGAATAGATTAACTAATTTGCAACAAAAGAATTTCTAAAAATGAATAATGAATATGGTTACATTCAATCATGTGATAATTAAATGATTGAGTCCGATATATTGGTAATTTTAAAAGCAAACTTACGACTGGCTCTAGAATAAAATTATTCTTTTCACTTGCTGCTGGTAAAGTATTTGGTTTATTATAACTAGATTTGGCTCCTACTGGATACCACCAATCACTTGAATTTGTGGAACAGTCAAAAAATGAACTTCCACCGATATTTTTTGTAAGTCCACCTTCAAAAAATTGAGTCCATGATAAGTGAACTTTTTTGTATCCATTAGTTTCTGCTGTACTCTCTTCGGTTGTATCAAAAGGGTGAACTTTTTGATACCAGGTATTATTCCCTTCTACTCCATGAACGAGCCAAGTGAATAAGTATCCATTGTTGTCATACCAATAATATTTATTAATTACATTTAGAATTGAAAATAAATGGCTATGATTAGTTATATATCTAACTTGATCAATTGTTTTAAAATAATCGCCATTTGTTGCATTATGCTCAAATACTTTAAGATAAAGTTCATTATTAATGATATTTATATAATTTCTTAAGAATGTCCCATTAAAATTTAAAACATTTTCTAAAGTTTAGCTTAATTCAAAACAAAAAGTTAATCAGAATTATAATTCTGCATATAACCTCAGATCAAAAAAAGAAAAACTCCTTTGATACTTTAATTATTTTCTTTGCATTAATCATTTATGATGCAAAATCAAAGGAAATAAAAGTTTTAGACACATATTTTCAATTAAGGAAATTCTTCTATTTTTAGCGCCCCTAATCTTTCAAATTTTAAAAGTTTTGAACAAGAATTTGGATAGAGATACATTCGCTATAATGCATAAATATCTCTAATTTTTATCGGGATTATAATTTGGAACCATATCCTAAGATGTATTCAAATGAAATAAAAAAAAACATAAGAATTTCAATAACAAAACTGACAATTTTTATTTAAATGTGTTTTTGATTCATAAGTCAAAAAACATTATATTGTACAGATGGTAATCTTTACAAGCAGAATGTCGAAAATCAATACACATCATTACTAATTGATAAAACATGTAGAATTCTTACAAAGAATTGCATTGACTACCCAACTGTAACGGAAATTACATTTTCGAATACTATTACTGAGTTACAAGATGATCCATTTATTAACACTCCTATAAAAGAATTAAATTTTCCTGAATCTGTGAAAATAATTTCTGATTTGGATCCATTTTCTCTTATTTCTTCACTTGAAAATATATTTGTTGATATCAATAATCCATATTTTGCTTCTTCGGATGGTGTTTTATATACAAAACATTTTGAAGAATTAATTCATTATCCAACTGCTAAAACAAATAAAGTATATTATCTACCTAATCAAGTTAAAGTAATTAGAAACCAAGCATTTCTGTTTCAGAATAATTTAGTTACACTTATTTTCAAGAGTGAGATCATTGAAATAAAGAGAGATTCATTTGATGCAATGGACAATTTGAGAAATTTTGTATTTCCATTAGGTGTTTCATTATCCAGTTCAATTTTGGATAGACTTAAAAATTATATCATTTCATATTATACTAAAGAAATTTACACTTGTCCAATAGTATACAAAAACATTTTGTTTTATGTTGATATTCATTGTTTTCTATTTTTATCTATATAACGAATAGATTCATCAAAAGAATATCTATTCTCAAGAATAAAGCGATTTATTTTTATAGTTTTAAAATTATAATTTTTTTAAGTAGCAATGCAGCATAACCTCTTGATCATTTATCACATATATGAAAATATTGAAAGCTTCAAATATACCTGAAATTGGGCTTTCTTTTATAGTTTTTTCTGATACCTCCCGCAAAATCAGTCTATTCTGAATTGAAAAGGGGATAGAAAAAGGAGTTTAATGATCATTAATACTCCACGATGTAGTCATCTTAATTACCAGTTTGAAACTAATGATGGAACCATATTTTGCCGGTTAGCTGCAAAGAAATTTTTTGAAAGGAGTTTCTGGAATAGAGATCTAATTTTACAAAAAGTGACATATTAATTCTGACTTTTTTATAAATCGCAGAAAAAAAACTATCCTGTAGTAATGGAATTCTTTACAAACAGAATATTGAAAGTCAATATACATCTATAAAGATAGATGAATCCTGCATAAATCTCTCAACAAATAGTATTGATTCTGCATATGTTACCAAAATTACATTTCCAAATACTATAATTGAACTCGCAGATGATGTGTTTGTCAATACACCTCTTAAGGAAATATTTTTGCCAGAATCAGTCCAAATTTTGAATGAACAAGATCCATTTTCTCATTTGGAACTATTAGAGAACATATTTGTTGATGAACGAAATCGATTTTTTACATCTTTAGATGGTGTTTTGTATACCAAGAATTTTGAAGAAATTGTCCATTATCCAACCGCAAAAACCGCAAAAGTGTATTATTTACCAAAAAATCTAAAAAGAATTAGAAATCAGGCATTTTTGAACAATCCATCGATTACAGCTTTAATATTCAAAAATGGTATTACATCTGTTGGACATGCATCGTTTTATCTTACCACAAACATTCGAGATTTTATTTTTCCGCTTGGTATAACGCTTCCATCTTCAGTTCATAATTCTCTCAAAGATTACACAATTTCATACTACTTCATCGAAAAATGTTCATGTAATATTACAAATTTCAATTTTTGTGCAGAAATAGGATTATTATCATTTATATTTATTTGAATTTAATAGTGTAAGAATGAGATCAATTTATCAAGCATAACTAGTAAAATCTTCTAATCATGCTTGAATTAATTAATGAATTCATGAATGTCACTTTTAACGCCTAAGAGTCCATGTATAGTTATTATCGTAAATGATAAAATATTCATATCAATATTTGTAGCCTACTGAATCTAAATATCTTATTTATTTGAAAATCTATCGTTGGGATATCTTGCGATCAATAAAAAAATTAATTTAATTTATTTCAAATCTCGTTCAAATAAAAGCAGCTGTATAATTTATGTGATATAAAGTTAACATAAATTAAGAATGCTTATATGAACATTCATTGGATGTTGTTTCAGGCAAATTTTATTTCGAAATTTCTGATTCTATGAACAAAATCAAGTGGCTACTTAATTAATACAGATTGATCAAATAAACATAGAAATTTCTCATCGAAATTTCGCTAATTTCAACAAATCTTTGATGAAAAAATTCAAACTCTGTTATATGAGTTGACTTTTGCTAATGTTATACATTTGCAATAGAAATCTGTTTTTATTTCATGGTATTCCTCAAAGGAAAAATTTTAAAAAAGTGACACAATCTTATTTTGAAATAATTTGACTATTAATCGGGACATATAATGCCGAAACAACTATTATATATTCATATTTTAATAGTAATGAGATTAGTATTGGGGATGGGACAAATATTGCACTTATTGATAAAACTTATTCTGGTATTTTGTCTATTCCTGAAAAAATTGAAGGGAGATATGTTACACGAATTGCCAAAAATTCATTCACTGATTGTAACTTCATTTCTATCAGACTTCCAGATTCAATTAATTATTTGGGAAATTATTCCTTCAAAAACACAAAAATTAGGGAGTTTATTGCACCTAGATCTTTATTAACAATAGGTTATTGCGCATTTGAAAGTTCTTCCTTGTTATATGCGGATCTCTCAAAATTTTGAAAATACAAAGATTTTTTATAAATCTATGCTTGAAAATGTCAAGTTAAGTAATAATTTAAAGGTTTTGTCACAAGAAATGTTCATATATTCACACTTAAAAAATATAACGATAACTAAAAGTGTCACAACGATAGGGATGTCATGTTTTTGGGCATGTCAACAATTAGAAGAATTCATCTCTGAAAGTCCATATTTCAAAACATTCAACAAAGTTTTATATTCGAACGATCTGAGAACATTGTATGCATATCCATGTAATTCTTTCATCGATATATTACCAACAACTAGATACATATCAAATGTTCGTGGTTTTGGTGCAACATCTTTTGTCAACTTTATTTTCAATGTTTCTATCCTCGAGATGGGTCAAGAAGCTTTTCGTGAATGCCAACAACTTGAACTAGTTGATATGAGATGTACTCGAGTAAAAATTATACATCATGCTACTTTTTTTAATTGTCCAAAACTTAAAGAAGTAATTTTGCCATATACTATTCAATCGTTAGATTCTTATGTATTTGGTCTCTCACCAATAAAATTTCTAATAATTCCTCATGAAATAAATATTCACCCTAAATGCTTTGCTGAAAATTGGATTAATGAAGTTGGTTTTTGCGGTGTTAATGATATTGTAGGTACTCTTCCTTCTGAAATAATCGTTCATGTATCAAAACAATTTCAAGGACAAATTTTTATGAACCATGCCATAACATATCGAAATTTAGTTTGTGTTTCAAAAATTTGTCCTTCAATATATGCTAATGATGGAAAAAATCATCACAAGCAACTTTTTTTTGTATATTATGCAATTTTCTATCTTTGAATGAGTATTTTTAATGTTCTTGATATTTAGTAAAATTTAACTTAACAGAACTTCATGTAATAGCATTTTTATAAAGTTTTGTTTCTTTTTGCATTGTAAAAAAATAGGGAATCTAATGAGTCATGCTAATCATATCGAATCAAAACAATAATAAAAAAAAATCCAAAATGATTGGAAAAATTAAAGAATCTTGAAAGTTATATCATTAAAAGATATGTTTCATGTTCATCTTATACTACTTTTATATAGCCTAGTGCCTAAATTAATAAGAGAAATTGAAACATAATCTTAGAACTATTATTAGCAGCCATTTTCCATAATTAATGGCTATATTCTTTGAAAGTGCATCGAATTGTTGCTAATGTTTTCAGATCTACTCGAAAAAAATTTCATTAACGCAATCTTAATTTTTCTAAGCAAAATTGTTGTAAACAGAAATTCATCAAAAGTGACACCTCAGAAAAGCTAAAATATTGAATTTTTGGAACTTTTGATAGAGCACGTTTTTAAATATTAATTAAAGTAAATGTATATTTTGTAAAGATTCTTTTTAATAAAAAAATAAAATTTTGAAGAAGAACACAAAATCTTCTGAAAAATAATATCACATAAACTCATATGTATTTTTCTAATATAATACTATTCTATATAAAAATCAAATTCAATGATCTTAAAAGCGAAGGATAAACCTCAAAATTTACGAATATAATGAGTGGATAATAATGCTTATCTATCATAAAACCATTAAATATCAATTTTTGCTTTATACGCCTTATTCCCACTCATTATTCGTAAATTTTGAGGTTTATCCTTCGTTTTAAAGATCATTGAATTTGATTTTTATATAATAAATAGGTTATATATATGAAAATCATATGAGTTTATGTGATATTTTTTCAGAAGATGTTCGATTCTAATATGCCTATCGAAAATAGTACTTCTCAAAGACTTCAACTCTTCGTAATTTCCATTAATTAAATTCTAGAATTATTGTATTAATGCTAGATTATTTCATTTTTCTCATCTCCAATTCTACGAATTTACAAATGATAAAAACTAGAGCTGTCACTTATGAATGGAATTTCTGTTGTATTACAAAATTTTCTTATCTAGATGAGACTTGATTATTCTAACTGCATTATGTTTAATCAATATTTATTATAAGACGATTCATATAATTAGACATGACATATTTGTTGACATTCAGAAAATGAGGGTATTTAGCTAAGGTAAATATTAATGCTTTGTGAATTGTAATAGTTAACAGTTTTTGCATCAGGAAATGGTCATTTTTTGAAAGTGAGTAAAATCGTTCATATTTCGGATAAAAAAGTTTGCTATAGATAGAAATTTCAGGTTTAAATGTAATTTCATCAACAAAAGTAGTTACAATAAAACAATTAAATAAAGATGGAAACGTTATCTTCCAAAGCCATCTCGTATTCGTTCATGACATGGGACCAGATGCTTGGATTAATCTGATTTTGTGTATTTTCAGGTGGAGGGACTGGCGGTGGAGGGTTTTCCGGACGTTTTGGCTTAGATTTTGGTGGAGCCTTCGCCTTGGATTTCTTTTCGGGTTTGTTTCTATCCTTTTTTGCCTCTAGACAAGGCTTGTTTTGATCGTCATGTACGTTAACATTGATCTCCTGACGCTGCGATAAACGGAGAACTATGCAATGCAGAGAGTCCCACACGATCTTTCTGTGATTAAGAAGAATTCCATTAGTGATGTTGGTCTTCTTCTGTTGTCCGTCAGCGCCTTCACGAGTTCTGGCTCGAACAAGCCTTTGTAACGTCTGATTACTTGAACTTGATGCGAGGAAATGAATTTTCTCCAAACTTCTGCTCCAAAACTTCAAGGGCCTTATGTATGTCATCTCCATTTTTACTTACTTCTTCAGTAATTATGTCATCTTCCTCCTTTGAGAAGCGATGTATGACTCTCTTTGTCATGAAATAAAATAAGTCAACGAAAATTTACAAATTGAAATAAAAAAAATTCGGACAACATAAATTGAAACTTAGATTGATAATAAAGGCTATAGGATTCATTAATGTGGCATAGAATGTGAAAAAAAAGATTCATGTCAAGTCAGAATAAAAAATTCGGCTTTATTAACATTATTTTCAAATATAAAAAAATAAAAAGTTCTGATTTTATTTATTCTTTGAAGTTTTTCTGGTGACAAAGGTTGTAAAAAGCTCTTACAACGTAAAAATTTTTGGACCCCCTGAGAATCCCTGATCGAGCAAGTTTGGCAAGTCTCCCTTCAGGAGAGAACATCCAAACGAGAGAAGCTGTTTTAATCACTTCATGAAGTATCTTATGGATATTGGGTTTAGATATATAGTTTCTAAGCTTAAGGTGGAAAGATTGTTGCGTTTAGAGTAACATGGAGTTTGATGAATGCTCATTTCGATATAGAGCCTTCCATTATCATCATATTGTAAAATTTTTTCATTCAAAATTTAGCTTAGTTAGATTTTTTAATGTAAAAGTGGCAATATCGATTCGCTTTTTATTTGGAGGGTATTCTTGCGGTATTCCTGAAGCGGTGGTAAGTGTCCGATGGGTTTGCAAATATGTCCTGTACAATGTTTTGTCAAAACACACGATTTCATGATGAGGAATTCATCCGGTTTGAATAGATATCCTAGTATGATGGCTAGTGTCAATGTCGAGTAAAGTCAGTCTGCCTTTAGTAACAGTGAAAATAAAGTTGATTCAAGTTGATTTAATCTTGATTTGGTGTTAACTTGAATTGAATTAACAAGAGGTTTTCAGCATTGTTTTGATGTTGTGGAAGATGGCCGCACTAAATTATGGTTGGTTAAAAACAATTATACTAGTTTTTCTCCAGAGGAAACTTTGTTGATAGCAATTCGTAAATGATAATATAAGCACTGTTAACACTTTACATGGCAATTTTTGCAAAAACTTGGGAACATAACAAAATAAGCCAAGTATTCAAGGTAATAGATATTGCTAATATATTAATCAAAATTCATATAATGTAAACGAAATTTCAAAATTATATAATTCCTATTAAAATCGAATAATCGTTTAGAGTCAATTTTACAGGAACACGTCATAACATATGAGCGGACTGAAGAAATAAAAGTTAACATTTAGTCTGAAGATTTTGTATATATTACAACAATTAAATACAAGATAATAAGTAATGATGGCTCATTTATAACAAGATTAAGATCAAACAAGATTAAGTCATACTGTATTATTTGTAAGAATTTGAGTGGTTAATGAGCTCATATTTCTAATGCTATCATATATCAGAAAAATAATAAATAATTATAAACGTATTCGAAGCATTAGATTACCCCATAAAAAGTGATATTGTATATATAAGAAGGATGCAATATGATGCAAAGATGAGCTTAAACTCAACAATTATTTTCCCAAAATTAAAACACTCCGAAACAGATGATGAAAAAATAGTTTAGTTCTGAATAATACGCCATAGCTTGAATCAATAGTTGAAGATACTATGTATTGAAACGATGTCACAATATATTCCATAATTACAACGAAAAATATAATAACCTTTGTGAATTCGAGATATTAAGTCGATGAGAAAAAAAAAAAAAAAAAAAAAGGCAGTGGGGTTCCAGGCAACTTCGTGCCTTCTAGCCCTGATGTGATGTTTTAGTATAAATGAAGTTTTTATTGGAAAATTGTTAGTCTTCTGGGTCGAAAAATTATAATATGTGTCTGCTTTTTCACAAATTTTATGTTTCAATGTTTTGTTAAGACTCTTCGTAAATGTTTTGTCAGACTTTTCGTATAATGTTTGTCAAGACTTCTTGTAGTATGTTCTTGTACAAGACTTCTTCGTAAATGTTTTGTCCAGACTTCTCGTAAATGTTTTGTCAAGAACTTCTTCGTAAATGTTTTGTCAAGACTTCTCGTAAGTTATTGGGTCAAGACTCTTCGTAAAGTTTTTAAAGACTTCTTGTAAATGTTTGTCCAAGACTTCTTCGTACTGTTTTGGTCAAACATCGAACGTAAACTGTTTGTCAAGATTCTTCGTAAATGTTTTGTCAGACCTCTTTACATGTTTTTGTCAGTGTTTCATGTAATGTCTTTGTCAAGACTTCTCGTAATGTTTTCGTGAAGACTTCTTCGTATAATGTTTTGTCAAGACCTTTCCTTTAAAATGTTTTGGTCAGACTTCTTCGAAATGCTTTTGTCAAGACTTCTTCGTAAATGTTTTGTCAAGAACTTCTTCGTAAAATGTTTTTGCAAGACTTCTTCGAATGTTTGTCAAGACTTCTTCGTACAATGTTTTTGTCAAGACTTATTCGGTAAATGTTTTGTCAAGAACTTCTTCGTAAATCAGACAAAATAATGTTTAGGTGCAAGAGTGAGATTTCACTTTTTTTTTTCACCTAATTTTTCACCTACAGTGAAATTTTTCATGAATTTTACATACAAAATAAATGTTATATTAGGTGAGAGGTGGAGATTAGTTCACCACACCTGTTTTTTCACCTAATCTTTTCACCTCGTGGAATTTTCATGAATAATTTATCACCAACACACAAATAATATGTTAGCCCAGTGAAGAGGTGAGCCCACTTTTCAACTGTTTCTCATCACTCACTCTATCCACTCACCATTACGATCACATCATACATGAAATTCATCTACCACAACATACTCCGACGCGCAACTTCTACGACAAACTCCATCAACAAGAGTCTCGCACACACATCCTCTCGCACAGTCTCACACGCACATCTCACCAAAGTCTTTACGCAAGAAATCTCAACAAAACATAGACAGAAAGTTCATCGCACACACTCACCGACTGCCCACACGCACACCTCCACACAGCCTCTACGACACGAATCTCACTCGCAACACTCTACACGCAGCTCGCAGAACATCCACGTCGACACACAAAGACTCGCACCACCTCACCTCTCCACTCACACACACACCCTTTTGCGGTCATTTACCGAAGACACTTCTACACACATTTTACGAAGAAATCTCAACAAAGACTCTCTACGCACGAAACTATCATCTCACACCCACACACACTCACGACACACATCACAACATCCTTGTCAAAAACTTTTTTAACTTCCACCTTAACACAATGCACGGTACAGCTATAAGAATATACGTAAGAGGAAGAGAGCATTGAAACAATCCAATAGTAAACTGACCCAAGCACCCAACAGCTTTGCAACAACCACACTCCCCCGAAATGAACCCCAATTGCTGCAACAAAAATTGTCAACAACCTATGCTCTTAAACCGAGTTTCTTGTGCACAGAGTGGAGGTTTAAGAGACGAGCATTTTTAGCGAAATAGAGCAGAGCTACGGTGAGCCCGCACGGAAACCATATACACCTCAAACGTACATGAATTCGGATATCAACTCAAAATCAAATTCAGCACACATGTCAAACATCAAACATAGACAATAAAACACAATACATAGGACACACGAAAAGAAAAACAGAAAATGAACACACAACAAACACAAAGCCCAACTCCTGGTTTAACGATAGAGAAAAGAAGACAAAAGAAAACAGAAAGAACTAAGTAACAGAGGAATATGCGAAAAAGTGTCAGAAATAAGCCTAGCAGAAGATCAGCAAAATGAACAAGATCATCAAAATATTGAAAAAACCATACTACTCGAATATAAAAGTACTCGAATAGATGAAGAAGATAAAACAAACAAAAGCCCTGAGACGATATCCATGGATAGCGGATGAGTATAAAAAGAAGTTGAAGCAAATGTAAAGGCAGAAAAACTTTACAGTTGCGCACACCGACAGTATGAAAAATTACAGCACAAAAAGTAAATAACGAGCAGACCCAGAAGGAGCAATGAGCAGATATATAAGACTAGACATGACATAGGATTTTATGATAAGCCAACGCTAAAAGACCCAGCTTATTAGGGTCAATACGGACAAAAATCAAGCTGATGAAGATAGTCAAATGAAGCTTTAAAAATTGCTGACTTAAGAACGCCTTCGAAGCTCTTCATAGTAGCCCGCTGAAAAAGTGAAAAGAACTTCTCATCTGGAAAGACACTGAAAGTCTGAAGCTTTCGACAAAGAGTTATAAAGAAGTAAGCACAAAATATGACGAATATAACAGATGCAGTCAACGAGACAGGCAGTTTCAAAGTGCTATGACGCGTTAGAGGCAACTGTTGTGGAAAGTCAAGAAAAAGAGTTACAACAGACCCAAACAGACCTTAGTAAATGCTTTCTTAAAAAACGAAAAGTCAGTAGGCATTATAGCTGCAGATAGGATACTGTGCCCCACGTGCGTGAGAACTTATATACCACAAACACCTCCAAGAGAAGCACCCTGCACCAGGAACCATAAAACATTACATACGTCACATGAGCACCCAGACACGGATGCAACCCAAAAACACGACACAACAACCAGCAACAACAACCACCATCCCCACCAGCAAACAACCAACACAACACCGCACAGCACAACAGTTCACAAACCCCTGCACAAACAACCACAAACAGAGCAAGGACCATAAAAGAAAAAGTTAGAGAACACAAGGAAATCCCAGAATATACTAAAAACCTACTGAAGAAGCAGATGTGGTTCCCGATACTGTTGACCCTTTTTAGTGACAGATATAAAGAAGCTGATTGGGAAAGTTCAAGGATGGAAAACTGACCCGAACCTATTTACTTTATGGCGTCAAGCACCAAAACGAGTATAACATCAAACCTGGAAAATACAACTCGCTAAGGGATCTGATTGTATACATAATCATCCAAAGACATGGCAATAATTCTAACTTCCGCAGATATGGAGTTAGAGCTCAATGACAATTCAACTTTCCGGTCATGAAAACGTAAAAAATGAGACGACAACGAAAAGAACAAAGCTTAATGAAATCGAGTATGACGTAGATAGTGAAATTGTGAAAACGGTCTCGGAATATATGAAATGCAGCAGATTGAGAGTACAACGTCCACAGGAAGAAGCTTTAAACAATACAACCAACATGGAAGAAATAGTCAGCAACAACAAGCCTTAGAAAGACTGAAGGAAACGAACAAGTCACTCCTATTGGAACTAACTTCAACAAACATATGAAAGATTTGGGAACAGCGAAAAATCCTATGACCCTCACAAGAGTAACTGAGTGAATATGAATGCATTCCAAAGTCTAAGAATAAATTCCGGCTGACATCAGTAGACAGAATCGGAAAAAATGTGCCGACATACAAAGACTCCAAACACGATGAAAATATCAGCAAATAGAATGGAAGTACTGAAAGAAAAATTACACAAATACAAAACCTTTTTACTTACGAGCATTTAAGCGGTTAAATCTTCGGAGAACTCGGTAAAATAAAAGTTAATTTAAAGAAAAAACATATAGAAATGAAAACATCTGTTTAAAGTTCATTAGAACCTAACCAAAGATACAAACAATACCTACTTTTGTTCTGCAGCGATTGGAACTACAATGAGATGGGTCAATAAATCAACCCGGATGTGGTTCAAAGAACTACAACCAAATTTCCCAAGAATTGTAACGCCAATGGAAGTAATGGGAACAGATAGAGCTGTATGTGTTTAGCCGGGCTTAATCCATTCAAAGATAGTAAACTGCACGAATTTTGGACGCATCATAGAAAATAACAATGGCTGATGGAATAATAATAACACTGACGTTCTAGAACATTTATCGTCAAAGAACTACACAGCAACCATTAAACGAATTGGTAATTTGTGAAAGAGTTAAGAAAGAAAGTAGTGGGAGTCGAACAGGAAAGAACTATTGACAATGAACCTTGCACACGAAGTTGCAAATAAAGCTTCATAAAAAATCTTACTTTGCCAGGACAAGAATGAGAAAGGGCATGAATATTTATAAGAAACTCAAATGGACCAGTTACCTAAATGAAATGTTAGTATTGAACAAAACATTTCCTTGCACAGAAATAAAACAACATACATGAAATAAACGAAACGCAGTACGAAATTGGTAGAAGCCTTTCCATTCACAAAAGAACAAGTTAGTTGGTAACATGAAAGAAAAACCAGAAGGCTACAGAAAACAAAATATAATTTGGAACGAGCTTATTCCAATGGACCAGGCACTGGTTGAAGACTTGAACCGGAAACTCAGGAAATGACATGCAAAAATACAGCGCGAACCACAATACAGAACAATGACAAAACTCTTTCTAGAATAGGTTACTGAATGGGCGACCAGAGCCAAAAGGCAAAAAGGACATGGGAAATTTGCAACATACTAGATGAACATAATGCAAAGATGCAACAACTTCAAGCAGAGGGCAATGAAGGAAAAAGAAGAGTTAAAAACTCAGTCAGGAAGAAAGTAAAGCTTGGTCGGAGTGGGTTCTATTATGACATATAAATCCAACTATTCTATATTTTTACTCATATGAAATGTACGCCGCTCAGAATATAACGCCAACAGTTTTGGATGCCATGAATGGAAATGTTTCCGAATGGTATAACGAATGCGACAATGCCATTAGAAGGTCAGAAATAGTTCCTGGAACTTACGAATATACAACTGCTGTTTCTTATGGAAACGTAGGTGAGTTTGGAGAAGGTTCTTCAACAACAGTAGATATTGCTTGCGACAGGTTTCATATAATTTCTATTGACAACTCTTTCTTATACGTGGAACAAGACATTGAAATAAAACCTTCTGCCAAGTTGTCTGACAAGAAAGGCTGCAATGGAATTTTCTATGTCGGATACCAATATGCTCCAGAAGTTTTCATGGGATATAAGATATATTCTAACTCTGACTTAGTTCAAACAGTAACATGGGCAAACTATGAATGGTTCGCTTTGAGAAACTCAGTACAACCACAAGCTAGAGAACAAACAGACCAGTATGCAACTATTGAGAAAATAAGAAGACTTGACCCTAACGTTCCAGGAGTTTATGTTAACCTTTCTGGACAAACTGCAGCAGCAGTAACCAAAGTAAAACTGAAACTTAGAGTTCCTTTGTCATCTTTCCTCATCTTCAGGTTTTTAAGATACTTGCCAAACTGGGCAGGAAAAATTTCTATCGAACTTACTCCAAGCAAAAATAACTTAGTCATTGCACCAACACAAGACCCATTCACTCTTACAGACGTAAAGGGAGCAAATCAAACGTCATTCGCCGAATTTTGCAAAGACAAAGTTGACTTAGACTTTGGTTTCTCAAACCTCAACACTGAAGTAAACTACTACTTCAATGCTGCTGGAACTGCTTGGGACCCAGTTAAGTTCACATGCGAAAAGTTTGAATGCAAGAGAATAGAAAGCAGACTTGCAGTCTATATGTTGGACCCAGATATTTCAAATGCTTTAGCTGCCAAATATATTGCAGTTCCACTTATGTTCCCTATACACCAAATATCTGTCAAAGACTTTGCAGGTGAAGTTGGAAACCAAAGTGCTGACCCAGGTGCAAGAACAGATATTGCTTTAACAACTGCAATGAAACATGCAGATACTATGTTTGTACTGTTCAGACGAACTATAAATGACTATTCTTGCTTCTACAACCCTGGTATTAAATACCATATAAACATAGATGGCAAATACTATCCAAGAGAAGAATATTCTACAGTTGAGGATATGAGGTCATACAACTTGACATTAGATGCTATGAACTTTAACAACAACTTCACAACAACCATTAACCCTGAAATGCAAAGTTCTATTATGCCATATGTGAAAGTATGGACTCATACAGGAGGTCAAAAAACTCAATATACAAATGGAGACCGTTCAAACTTTTGGCTTGGCATTCCATTTGCTGACTCAGAAGACTTTATGGGTGGTATTTCAACTGTTGGTACAGTTCAAATACAATATACTGGTGACAGAGACGGTCCAGATGAACTGAGAGCAAAGAAGTTTACAAAACCAATAGCACTTTTCACGGAAGATGCTCTTTTGAAAATTCGTTCGATGAAACCTGCTGGGGCTCCTCAGATTGGCATAACGACAGCTTCCATCGAGCAGATTTTGGCAGCAGGTCAGTAAGTTGTTCTTGAACTGACTTCTCTCCGTCAAATATTGACAGTACGCCAGTTTTGATA